CATCCCCCTGAAAAAGCGTGAGGTATAGAAGAACAGAATTAATGTAGTCGTCAAACCGCCTCGGTACGGTTAGTTAGCTGTCTCCGGTTGAGCTCGATTTCTGCAACACCCCGCCGAGGATTATAACAGCCCCATGTCTAGGCCTTGAAGTCGAAGGTAATAAAGGCAGAGGACGAAACAGAGAAGGAAAAATAATAAAGGTCTCTCTGGTCGTAGATCATGACATATCCGTCCAGTCGTGGGATGATAGCATGCGATGCTCAACCGTAAGCAAGTTCGAAACTGGATGCAAAGTTGGGTTCCGTCCGCTTAACCTCCTTGACCGGGTGAATCATCATCGGAGGCAGGCAAGGCCGGCCATGCATTTCCTCCCATTCCGGACCACCCAACCCCGTGTCGTAGAACCCGATCCAGTTGTTGTAAAGCCGGGGCGGGGCCTCGGCACGATAGTACCACGTCGAGCCCTGGTATCGGCGTTCCCGGCCCCAGCCCATGGGGCTGCCCTCGCCGCCGCTCGCGCCTCTGGGCCCGGGGTTGAACCACTTGGCGAGGAAGGTCCCGTTCCACGGCCGGTCGAACCAGACGGGGTGCGGCGCGAACACCGTCTTCATGCCGTGCAGGAGAGCGACCGTCTGCGGCGTCATTTCCGACGCGATGTGGTTGCCCCGCAAGTTCTCGACATGCATGATGTTGAGGAGATGCTTCGATACGCGCGACTGCGTGACGATGGTCGTACGGCGCGGGAGGTCAAGCTTGCCGTGGTTCTCATCGCTGTAGCCCCAGACGTGGTCGCGGATCACCCAGTTGCTGCCGACCGGGTCGAAGATGGGCCCGATGGTAATAAGATCCGCATCCTCGCCCACGCCCCAGCTGTAGTTGTCCTCCTCGGGATGGGACACTGGCGGCTTGGGTCCCACCGGCGTGATAAACGGCAGGTCGGGAGGACCCCAGACCTGGTGTCCCTTCGTCCGGCTCTCCACGTCGTTGCGGAAGTCGTGGTCGTAGTCCCCGTGGAAGGAGGGGATGTAGTAGCGCTCGTTGCGCTCCCAAAGCCCGCGGCGGGGCTGCTTCTTGGCGAAGGTGTCAAGTTTCTCGACCAAGTCGTAATGGTGGCCGGTGAACCGCGCATCCATCTCCCAGTTCCAGATGAAGTCGTACTCGGGAAAGTCCATGCTGAATTTCTGCACCGAAAGCCACTGGGCCGAATGCACGCTCCGCTCGTTTTCGTCCGTCATCTTGGTGTAAATTTCCCAGACGGAGTGGTCGTTCCAGAGAATCGTCATATCGTGGAACTCCTTGGGCACGTTCTCGTTCAGAACATACTGGAGAGTGTCCGTGTCGCCGAAAATATCCAGGGACGAGTCGCGGACGTGAAGAAGCAGGTACACGTGGTATTCGCCACCGGACCGCAGGGCCAGTTCAGAGACCAAGGCACGAATGTTCTGTTTGTCATTCTCCGAGTAGGTCTTGCCGGTATAGGATCGGAGCAAGATGGCGGAGCGTTTCTGCGGCGGGAGATGAGGACGGGCTATAGTGCTCCTGTTGCCACTAGCTATGTTGGGGTGGAGAGCATGCTGCCTCTTGGCCTTGCTCTTCCGACGAAGTGATTTTTCCCCCCTCAAGTCTCTAGCCGAGCCGGCCAGTTCGGGGTAGACGTCGAGATAGGGATTGGCTTCTCCCTCCAGATCGTAGCGGTCGCTGTTGAGCTCTACGCAGGTGTCCTGTAGCTCGCCCCAGTTGACGTTGTTCCAATTGATGGGATGGCCATCTTTAAGAACAGTGGTATGACCGTAGGGTCCGAGTCGGGTCTCTCGTTCAAAGCAGAGGTTGCCATCGATGTTGAGGGCGTCGAAGCTCCCAAAGCTTTCGGCAGGGAAGTCGTGGGGATGGCCCTTAAAAACAAGTATGTCCTCGACATAGTCGCCGGTGGCACCACGGCAGGGGACGTGGGTGCCACGATGTGTCCTCTTCCATTGGCTGCTCTGGTAGTCGGGATAGGGGTCATATGTGACGGGTCTGTCCATGGCAAAGCCGAGAGGCCTGTGTGACGCCTCTTTTAGGTCGGCAGCGTGTTCGGGTGCCCGAATGTCCTTGCTGATCAAGGTGGCCAGCGTATTGCCGTAGATGGCATCGTTTCCGGGAAGGCTGTGGCAGGACAAGTTAGAGCGTGGCCCCGACGTGCGAGTTTATTTGAGGCAGCAAGAAAAGAAGAAGAAAAGCAACGAAAGAAAGAGAGAAAAAAAGTGGATAAAAAAAAGTCAGGCACTTTACCTCTTCGCTCTCTCGTACTCGTAAGCAAACTCGTCTCTGAGAGCCTGTTCATGCTGCTCTCTTAAGTGCTTCTCCACCTCCTTCTCTAATTGTTGTTCGGTCCTGGGCCGCTCTGATTTGTGATCGCGGCTCCATGGAACAACATGGTAGCCATCTCTCGATGATTTGAAGCCGAGGAAGTAAATGGTAATAAGAAGCACGCCGACGGCAAGGACGAGCTTAGGACGCGGTCTCGGCGCCAACACGCCTCTTGACTGCGGCCGTAGCCTCTCAAATACTGGTCGAATTGCCATGGAAGGCAGGTGTGGGAGGTATGGGAGGAGGAGGAGGCGGAGGCGGAGAGCGATAGAGGCGCGCTAGTGGTCGTTATCTGTCGAGGTCGGTCAGGGCAAGATGACAGGTCGCGGAAGAAAGCGAAAACAAGAGAAGTGCCGATGGTGCCGAGTTAGGAAATCATGTTGTTGCAACTCGGACACATCGACTCTCAAACGTCGCGGATTAGAGACGGTCACGTCAGAACCGTCGTTTTCGGGGAAGACGAAATTGCAAGAAAAGGAAGCCGTCGCGTGGTATCAGGTGGTGACTCTTCTGCTTCTTGTTTTTTTCCTTCGCCTCTTTGTTCCTTTCTCCCCTGTCGAGCCGGGACAGGCAAATCGACGTTTTCGGGACGGGTAATTGTACAGTAACGAGTGGAACGACTTCTATCCAAGAAGCCTGGGAAAATGTTTGAGGATAAAATTGAACGATAGCCAAATAATGCAATTAGAGAAGGCTGAAAGCGGGTGAGATACACGAGGTGAAACGGCTTGCCCGTGAAACACCGCGAGGAATTGAAGCTCCAGGTGAGGAATGGGATGGGATGGGAAGAAGGGAAGGGGTCGCTTTGGGAGGGACTAGAAGAACCCGAAAGAAGGGGGCCAGGTACGGGGCGGGAGGGAAGGGGGTGGTTCCAATAATGGGGCTAATATATTGCATTATCAGTTCAGTGTTTTCAGTAAGATACGTATAGACCCTGTAGAAGGATTCTCTACCGTAGAATCAGCTACATTGATTAATCAGATGTGGGTCATTGTCATATCATATCTGTTGTGCTGACCTGACACTGCGGCGGCTGGGTACCCAGATTTGGTGGAGCAATTTCGAGACGCCCATAGCGTACACCGTAAAAGGTAAGCGATCCCATGTCTTCGAGATTTGACTGCACTCGCACTGGCAGCTTGGTGGTTTAATCTTGTGTTTTAATCTTGTAGGCAGGCATCCTGTCCTAGGTGAATTGGTTCGATTACGGAATAAACGGATAGTAGGGTTTGGAGGGAGTGAACCGGCTGACGACGTTGCTGACGCCGACGACTTACTGGGCGGTTCGACGATCGCCCGAGCCACTCATTCTCATACCGGCTAGGGACACTGATAGGCCCCTAGGGGCAAATCCATATTCAGAGGATAATTTTAAACTTTCCCCAATTGTTGCTCTCTTCTCAAGTAAGGTACCTACACTAGGTATTTTCTATTGTTTCGATTTTATTTCTCACTTTTACGCTCTACCCCGCCCTTTTTGTCTCTGGATGGTTTTCGTGTCTTCTCTCCCACGAAGCAAATACACACATTCTCTCCTTAGGAACTTGCTTTGATGGGTATCCCAGACCAATCCGATCCGTACATGGGTACCGACAGGCTATCTTACCTTAGTAATACAGTGCAGCTGCGATCCATGAAGGGTAGTTCCTAATAGGTCATCTCCTCTCTCGTATCAAGCTTCACAAAAGTCGCTCTACCCCATCTCGGTACGTGTAGAACTGTGCATGTGCCCCCCACATATGTTATATGAAGGCAATTTCCCCAAACCCGCCCATCTGCACATCTATCTGTCTCCCCCACCAATCACCCGCGATCTGTTGGAGTCATCGTCCATCGTCAAGTGCTTACTTCAGACTTTCGTCCGCCACCAACCTTCATGGTCTGCGAAGAATACGACCCACATTCACATGGTATGTATCGTATAAGTGCGAGCTGACCGAGTCGTTGCTATGAATAGCACAGCCAACGAACCCATTCCACATCAACGGTTACAGTTTGAAACTCATCTCGAGGGCGTTCGGCCGACCGCTTCAACAGTAAGCTTATGCAACGTCCAGTCCCTACGGAGTATGTACAACCACACCTTGTCCATCTCGCTTGCGTCGGTGGTGCAGCTGATTAAGCATGTGGGGTACTTGCGAGCTCGGGCACGTCCCATCCAACTCCACGGCCCATGGGCTAGGTAAGTCGGTAGGGCGGCGTGGGTATAATTACGAGACACTCAGAGACACCCACAGAGGGGGTTGTAGAAACTATTCGCGGAATATAGAGAACCGAGTGGACCATAAAAAAAGGAAGAGGAAAAAAAGCCGCTCTGAATTAAACTCCACCATGACATGGAGCTCTAGGTACAGAAAGGTCTTCCGAAACGCCAGAGGAAACCAGCTCACTAAGAGCAACCGTCCCATGCCTGTCTCGGACCGCATCTCAATTATCAAATATGTATTGCGAACCTTGCCACTCGTAACCCAACAATGCCACACCAAGAAGATAATGGGGTATACAAAGACCAAAATATACGACGAAGTCCTAAGAAGGACGGGGTATAGAGAATGAAAAAAAGAAGAAAGAAAAGAAAGAGTAAAAAAAGTCGGAGAACAAGAGAAGAAAAGAAAAAGACGCTCAATAGATCAAGTAAGGTGACACTCAGGGGAGGAAAAGGAGAAAAGGAAGAAAATGAGCGTGTCGTGCTCGTGAAATCGGAGTAGTGCTAATGTCAAAATATGGTCATAAATCATCCCATGTAAGGGACGTCCTCATCGTTTGCTGTCGCGAGCATACCTGCCCGCCATTGTCCGCTGCTGGACGAGGTCAGGCCTAGTATGGTAGTAGCTCTTACCAAGGGCAGACGCCTCTTCACATCATGCCCAGTCTCGTCATGCGCTTGTTCATCCTCGGCATCGGCGCGAGGTTGGGAGCCAGATTGGTTCCGGGCGCGACTCTCTGACCCCTCGGCAGGCCGACGGCCGGTCTAGGTCCGCCCATACCAGGAGGTCCTCCCCGACCACGGCCCATCGGCAGTCCCACGCCCGGTCCCATGGGCGGACGGGGGCCAGGACGTCCAGTATAAGCTCCATGAGGCGGAGCAGGCGACCTATTCATCGGTCGCCCCGGACCACTTTCCGGTCCAAAGGGGCCGAGCCCGTCCGCCATCCGCGGCTGTGGGTGCGGTGGCTGGTGCATACGCCTCCAAGCATCCTTTTCGCAGAACGCTTTGCCGTCGACGTCGAAATAGCCGTTGGAGAGGGGCACGCCGCAGTCGCCGCACCGGAAGCACCCGACGTGGTACTTGATCGTCTCTTCGTCCTCCAGATACTGGCCTTCGATGCCGCGGCCACAGCTGCCGCAGAGGCTGCCGTTCAGTTTGTGGTAGTGGACCTCGCAGTACGGCTTGTCGTCGAGCACGTAGAACTCGGCGGACGAGAACGGCTCCCGGCAGGTCGTGCACACGAAACACGCCTTGTGGTAGCGTCCCGTGAGGCGACCGTCCGCGGACGAAATGCTCTTGCCCTTGATGGCCTCGCCGCATGCCTTGCATGATCCCCTCGCCGACTGTACCGCCGGATCATGCGGATGCTGATGCTTATCAGACACCCCCGGCGCCGCTTTGGTTTGCGGCGACGAAGGGGCCAAGGGTCGGACATTTCGAGGTGGAGAGGGAGGAGATTCAAGATCGGGGGAGGACATGGGGGAAACGGCCGGAAGCGGTGGTCGGGGCACCGCATTCGGACTCCAGGAGTCGACAGGTCGCGCCAAGGGCGGGGGGGGCGAGACGTCGTCGTTCCGCGCGGATCCCATATTCGACATGGACGTCTCGAGGTCGTTCATGAGCTGGTCAAAGTTGCTCGTGTCCGACGGCTTCCTTCGGCTCTGCGATTTTTGGGGGCTCGACTGGGAGCTACTCTCCGAGCTTGACCCCCTTGGTCGACTAAAAGTCGAGTACCCCGACGATGCCGAGTCGGACGGCGAGTGGTACGGGTTTGCGCTGCCAAACTCGTCGGCCAGGTTGATGGACGGACCGTCCCTGCCTGCGGTTGCCGGTCGGAGCAGGCTCGTGCGGGGAGGAGGCATTCGCGAGGTGTCGGGACGCTGTTGTAACGATTCCGGTCGCGTGGTGGGCGCGGATGGGGTTCTCACCGGGGTTCTCACCGGTGGCCCCATGCGATCGTTGGGCCGGGGGAAGGTACCGGATCGGATTGCGCCGAAGGGTCGGGGTTCATAGTCGTCAGGTGATTGCGTGGGAGGTCCGAAGCCACCGTAGCCATTTTTCCTGGGCACCTTGGGCGGTGCGATTCCGGTATGGTTGTTCCCCAGGAAAGCAAAGCCGTCGGTTATGGGAGAGGGTGAGGCGGCCAATGGCTTGGCGGGCGGCACGAACGCGTCGTCGGGAGGTTCGATGGCCCTCGGGCTCGTCTTGGGGATCTCCAAGGTCACGTTCTCACGCGGCGTTGACTCATCTCTCGGCGGAAATGCGTTGTGCAGGGGTGACATCGCCGGCTTGGGTTCGGCCTCGAACGGACCGGGGGTAATCGTGTTCATTCTTTGGAGGAGGCTGCCTTGGCCCGGTGCTTTGTTGGGACCGCTAGCAGCTGTGGCAGGCGGGGTCTCCGCAATACTGGGGTCGCCGAAACCTCCGTAACCTCCGGGTCGTTTTCCCGCGTGGGGTGAATAAGTACTACTATGATCGGGGCCGATCTGAGGTGGAAAGTAGTCGTCCGACCTATAGGGTGCGGGAGTTCGGGGGGAAACGGCATGAGACCCCGTTGCATTGCTCATGGGGGTCATCTGACCATTTGTCACAGAAGGATGGTCTTCTTTCGCAGTTAGCATCCGGTTGGGGAGATGACGAGCGAATATGGGAGGACTTGCTGGCAGCTATTGTATCGACCCTCGGAGGTGGAATGCGGCCCGGTCTGCTCTCATTGGGGGGGAGTGGACGGTCCAATGGGCGGAAGCTGTCAGGTGCGGCTACTGGTGGTGAAGCTAGAGACAACGAAAAATAGTTAGCAACGGGATGACAAAAAGGAGGCTACAAGAGCAAAACCCAGGCGGTTACGTACTGCTTAGTGCGTCTGGCTGACAGATGTGCTCCCCCATCAGGGAGATCTCAACCTGGGCACCACAGGATGAGCATTTGATGGCTGGCATCAGGCTCGACTCCCTCTGGGCAGCCATAGTTATCGCGTATCTCTCGAGGTGTGTTCTCTCAACGCGATCCAAGTTTAGCCTCGAAAGGATGGCATTGGCAGGAGGGAGTTGCCTCTTGTTCGGGTAGAGTTGGCTACTGGGAGCGGTTCGAGAAGGGAAGTGTATAAATAGAACGTCGATTCAAAGCGCGCCCGCGCAAGGGACGAAAGCTCCTGAACGTCTACCTCGTGACCCTTTTGACCTTTGTCCTGCTCGGGCTTCTCTTTTGTGTTGAGAAGGGTATATGATTGCTTGATGCGTAGAGAGACAATGACGAGGCAATTGTTATTATTATTATTAGGCTTTGTTGGCAACAAACACACGCTGCGTTCGGTATTCGGATGTTTGAACAGCCCCGTCTTTGTAGCGTCGGATCCTCATGCAAGTCGTTTGGGATTGGAGGTGGGAGATGCCCTGTGCCACGACCGACAAAATCGGGATGTCGCGCTTTGGTTCGGGTCCAAGAGTCAATCGTCAGGCTATGCAAGAAGGGAGGAGGATAAAATGGGAGGCGAAAAAGAAAGGAAGGAAAAAGAAGGTCTGTCTGTCCCGAGACGAAGGACACAAGGACGGTGAGATGCTCGAATGCATAAGAGGATGCTGCCGTTGCAGCTAACGTCTCGAATATTGCGGAGGCCATCAGGGATGTTTGTACGTGTACAAAGTATGGGGCACAAAAGGCGAGACTTGGCCGTCTTCCTTGAACCCCTGGTCGTTGCGACTTTTACCCCTGACGATTTGTCCTCGTTCGTCGATATCAGGGACGTTTGGGTTGTGTTAGGGAAGTTAGAGGGGGCGTTACGAGTGGCTTATAGGTGGGTTAAGGTCATGGATCCACGAATACTAACGCTTTTTGGGACACTTCCCCCACCCCTTCCCCCTGGCTACATTACTTCTCTTGGCTCTGGCCCCTGGCTGGCTTTGCTCTTTTGCTTTGTTCCTGAATGGGCACTAGTGGACTCCGTTGTACATAAGGTACATATCCAAATCGGGCTTTGAGTGGTTTGCACAACTGGTGGCTTTCACGATGTACAACGTAATCTGAGCTGGGGGGCATCGCATCTGCTGGGTGCTGAGGACGGTCAAGTGCTTATTCCTAATTAATTGATTACTTGGTAGTTGAGCGAATGTAAGCGACGAGAGTCGACAAGTTGGATTCCAGGCGCACCGAAGCCGCCCCCATAACATAGGTAACCTTGGCGCTGGTAATTGCGGATTAGATGGGTGCAGATACAAGGTGAAGTAAGGTACGAAGTGTGCCAATAGGAGTGCCGATATGCTTCGTACGAAAAGTCCGTACACATACTCCTCCGTATACACCTCCGTACGCGGTACGTATTTTACCTGCCTATTGGAGTGGGAAATGAAATGACTGACTTCGTGTATGAAGTTGGAAGGAAATAACTGAAGGAATATCCGCCTGTTGGCGGTGCTGTTTGGTTCGACCAAAGAGTCGTCAAATTACGAATAATACTTCGTAGAAATCAATGATCAGGAAACAAGCAGACTCCGGAACAAAAAAAAAATATAAGGTCAAATCTTCCACAATTGCTGCATACTGTAGGCCACACCTCAAAATTTGTTTTCGTCTGTTTATTAGATCGGTTATTTATGAGAACATATGATCCGGAAGGTCTTTGGAGAACCCGCAAAATAAACTCGTTCCAGCAAAAGCGCCATGGTCTACGGAGTAATTCGGCAGACGTGCGGATACTCGCTTCCAGGTTTCGAGCCATAGTAAGAAACTACCTAAAGGTACGGATACCGCTGGCCGCTTTTCTGTCTTTCCATGCTCTTGATTCTCATTCATGGCTGTACTGACATGACTTATTCGTACGTACTCTGCTCCTGAATACAGCCCAAATCGTTTTGCCGACGTGGCATGAGGCTACGGAATAAATAAATAAATAAATAAATAAATACATACAAAACCCTGGTTCGTCAACAGACGAGTTACTTTACAAAGTATTCGCATGCTCTTTGATATGCCCTTGCTGCGGATGGCAGCGTGGCTACAACCTGACGGACTGAACGGCGGCGTGGATGCCGCGCTCAGAAAGCAGTAGACATGCTGAACAACGTGTCTCGATACCTACAACGCACACCTCCATGGGTAATTACTCTATACATCATGGAAACGGTGTGAATTCAGGAGGACGACATGTCACTCGAACCGAACTTCGAAAAAGCCCAGAATTAGACCCCACCTCACCTATCGGTAGCTCCACCGCCGAGATGGGGGCCACGTACACTACTTTGCGCGGAGAACAAACCAGCACAGTCGCCGTGGTAATACGAATAGGTAGTTACAGACGGTTCGTACTTTCTTCTCGATTCTGGTCCCCTTGGTAAAAAGTACGCTACTTTGTAATTAGTTCCAGGTTTACATACAACTTACCTAAGGTACCTACCTAAGCAACCTTACCCAACGTACAAAGTGTAATATGGACATGCCTCCCGGCTATATCTTAATACCTCGTGGGCAAAACGGACCAACGTGATGTTTTATAAGGATCTGTTCCTAAGGCGTCCAGTCAGTCATTCCGGTTTTGAAGGTGCTAGCTAATTCGGAAGCTCGTGATTACCGACAGGGGGCGAGCCTATCCTAAACCGGCACAGACGCATTTCGATCCATTTCGACCATTGACTGGATCCACTGGGGATGGAGCGGGATGAGCCCCTACGCTGCACGACACTTAGATGGATGTTCTTCGGATGTTTCTCGAGCCTATGAGGTTTCAGTTTGCAACAAATCGTCCAGCTCACGCTTCCTCCTGGTCCGTGTTCAGATTGGTCGATCCTCATCAGCACTCAAGGTGACGTTAATATCGAGATCAACAAATCATCTCCACGATATCCACTTCCCAAGCCAAGCTTTTTATTTTACTGTCCGGCTATCGTACATCGTACTCTGTAATTACGAAGTTACATGGTGCCTCAACTCAATCGACCAGCGATGCTGCGAGAAGGGTCGTGACTCGTCCTCTTTCTTATTATTATTAACCGCCCACTCTTCTCTTCTCCGAGAGGACGCCCGGAGATTTTCCCCATTGGTATAGTACTTGGTAGATCCGGCACTTCACCTCGAGGGCTACCCGTCCAGATGATCAATCTACGGATATTTACGCAAGGGAAACTGGCTGTACGTTGTATCTGACCAAGCGTCACTTCAGGGGACGTAGAGACCCTCCCGTTGAGTCCCTGTCCCTCCTTGCCATGCCACGGGATTATGGAGGAGGTCCTGCGAAGTACAACGAAATAATGCCGAGCGCAAGTCCGTCACTTGTAATCTCATGCCAACTGGCAGGTTTCCACAGAAACCCCTATTTCTCGACAAGGATTCTGTGGATAGCGCAGAATTGGCCGAGCCAAGTAAGCAGTATAATGCCCAGATGGGGGGTCTTGCGGCGCCGATCGAAGCTCTCCGTCACACCAACTGGCCATTCCTCCAGTTTCCCAAGAATACCTACCTACAACATACGTGCGTTGTAGGTATTGCGGCCTGCGGTGCCGCGTAAGTACGTTGTAGGTATCACGGGGGAGAAGGGGATTTGTCTCCCTGATGATCGCGAATGATCATCAGGGCCCCGGGCCGCGCAGAGAAGGGTGCATCCATGGGCGATCTCTCGAAGTGAACCCACTCAAGCACAGTTGAACCAACTGCTTCGTACAACGTACGTGCGATATGTGGCCATGAAAGTAAGAAGGAATCCGGTGCCAAAGCCCGCATCTTTCCGTCAAAGACGTGGACAGGAGGTGCGCATCTAGGCCGGTAGCGTTAGTGGGCTCGAGAGAAACGGAACCGTGAGCTAGTACAGAATAAGGTTGGTGTTCATCGACGATATTCGACGTCTGGGACCATACGGTTTTGGTCTATTAAATAAAATGTGGCGTCGTCACATAGACCCAAGGTTCAGTCCATGTCGGTTAAAGGTTACCGTGGCAGCGTACCATAACACGACAACAAGAAAAATGAGCCGTGACTTGCTCGGCCGTTAGTTGGTAGGTATAAGAATCGAAATTCGGTTGTAAGTTGTAACCCAAGCGTCAACCGAGCCCAGAGAAAGCCATGGAATGTGACTCCATTGGTGGCAACTCAGAGCGTCAGTTTGAGATAGGGAGCGAGCACGCGATCTTGAACTTCAAAGGGGTTAGGCCGTGTACGTATAGGTATCTGAGAACGGCGGGGTCCGAGGTTCGTGGGGGGGCCCCGGACCGACCCTCGGTGGTCTGACTCTGACTATTGGACGCGACGAATGTCGGTGTGTGCATTGGTAGGTATGTATGTCCGCAAGCTTTGCAGAAATGCAGTCCGAATGAGGGTTTCTGACCTTTTTATCCAAGTATGACGGACGGATGTACGGCTTTCAGACTGCAGCCAAGGAAGCGTGGCATGGCATGTAGGTCCCGAGATGTTTGAAGCGGTGAGGACACATGAAAGAAAACTGAAGGAAAGGAAGGAGCTAAAAGAAGGAAAACGTTGAAACTACCTTACAGTTAGTTCCCTTGGACGGCAATGGAGGTAGTGCTATACCACAAACAAGTGTATGCCTGGGCAAAAGGGGCAAGCAGCAATGGGGCACGATGACGGCCGAAACTGAGCTTTCTTGAGAGGGCAACATCAGGTCAAGTTCGTATTCGTATGAGGTACGAAGTATGTGGAGGTTGAAGGTTGACCCGGTCCGATATCGATATCGAGACTCTCTGCATGAGACCAACCCACAACTTGCAGAGATGGCGGTCGGCTGTCATCGACGATCATCCATGGGGGTTGGGCGTTGCTGCAGGATCCGTAGTCATCCGTAGTCACCCGAGAGCTGCGTCTCGAATGCCGCCGAGGAACCCAATTTACCAATCAAGTTTCGAGCCATCAAAGTAGTGGGTAGGTACCTAGGTAAGGTAGGTAGCTTAGTCGTGCGAAGTGAAGTGCGAAGCAGTGCCGTGGCACGGTGGACAGCATGCCAGCGTTAGCTTCAAGTTTGATGTGTGGGTTTGCAGCTCCTTTGTAGGTGGTTTTTACGTTGAAACAGGAATAGGCGACTCCTTGTCCCTCGTCTCTGCGGCGAAGGGGCAGGGAGGGGCAAGCGTTATCGATAGCGATAGGGTCTTGGGAGGGTTAAGGTACCTAGGGTACCTAAGGTACCTTATCGATAACAATTGGTTGGTCCTGGGTCCTGGGTCCCCTTATCTGCCAAGCTGGATCTGCCTATCCTATCGCAGGCCATCTCGCAGAGAGGGGGAGGGGTAAAAAGAAGTCAACAGAAGCAGAAGAGAAAACCGTTCCTCGGAAACATTGAACACCTCCACCAGCTCACGATATCCATATCCGCTATATCCGGGCCAAGCAAAATACTTCATACACTACGTCGAATAGGGCCACTATACAGTATTAACCGCTGTCAAATCTGTTTATCCAGAGTCAAATCAATGTTCGAAAACCATGGAAGATTCGACCCATCCATAATAATTCTGCCAGTCCTCTCGTTTCTTCATTTGTGCTCAATGCAGCCAAGAATAGGTCATGTTGAGTTGTCCCTATTGTCCCTGCTGTCCCCCTATCATATGTCCGCGATGAGTTGCTCTTACGCGTTTTGTGCCTTTTGGCGCCAACCACGAAGAGGGGCATGAAGTAAGAACTCGGCTGTAATGAGGCACAGATACTCAAATATGGTTGTACAACGTACAACGTACAACATACAACGTACAACGTGCGGATACTTTGTATAGCTTGAAATCAAAGACTCCACATGGGCGAACGCATCGTCGACTAAAGTTTCTTCTACCTTGGTCTGCTCACCGCCAACGAGTACCGGACCGGGTTCCTCCTGCCACCCGACCCCCGAATGCTTGGTAAAATGGCTTTCTCGACGTAGCATACGGAGTTCAGGCAGTACAGACACTGTACCAGAGTGTTGTGTAGCCGACTAGCGCAAAAGCCAACAACGGGGAACGGGGACCATGGCGCGGAAGGTGTAAACGTTGAGACTATATGAACCAACGGCCCACCTCTTCCCCTTATCGTAGTTTTTCCTTTTCTTTTTTTTTTCTTTCCCTTCTTCTCTTCCATCATCGAAACACCAATCGCCAGCAACTTAATTGCGCACAAAAACGCCGTCTTCTCGACCACCGTCCATCACCACTACCCCCCCAAAACCCTTTCCAACAGACCGATCGCACTTTCGAGTCGCGATCACCCCCGTCGTCAAGACGTTCTCCAACCTCCTCAACTCGTATGTTGCGTTATTTCTTCTGCATTGCCACCCCTCTGTCCCATGAAGGTCACAGCGATCACGCCATGTCTTTCATCTCTTGCCGGGTCAGCTTGCTAACCTTCCATTTCCTCCAGGGTCCATCACCCGTTCGCAGGAGGCCGCCGTTCTACCGCTCCCGGGAGATCAGCGGACTCGGCCTTCGATCATTAAAAGAGAAACCCGCGTGGTAACTCGCCAAATAGCTACTTAAATTTCTCAACCTACTTCTCTTTTTTATCGAACCGGCCACGCCCGCACTCCTTACAAGTCAAGTCAACATGGCTCCCCACGCTGACTCGGGCTCCCTGAACGGAGATGGACCTGCCAACGGCCACAACGGCACCGCCGCCGCCGCCCGCTCGGATCTTTTCACGGTGAACTCGGCTAATGTCACCTACTCGGAGACGGATATCCTGTCCAAGTACACGTACCGCACCACCGACGTCACCAAGGACGACAGCGGCAAGTATGTCGCCACACCCAAGGAGACGGTGTACGAGTTCAAGACGGACCGCAAGGTTCCCAAGCTCGGCATGATGCTTGTCGGCTTGGGCGGAAACAACGGCACCACGGTCACGGCCGGCATCATCGCCAACCGTCGCAACCTCGCCTGGGAGACGAAGGAGGGCACCCGCGCCGCCAACTACTACGGGTCGGTCATCATGGGCTCGACCATCAAGCTCGGCACCGACGCCAAGAGCCGGAGGGAGGTGAACATCCCGTTCCACGACATCCTGCCCATGGTGCACCCCAACGACCTGGTCATCGGCGGCTGGGACATCAGCAAGATGAACCTGGCCGAGGCCATGGACCGCGCGCAGGTGCTCGAGCCGACGCTCAAGCAGCTGGTCCGCAAGGAGATGGCGTCCATGGTGCCCCTGCCCAGCATCTACTACCCTGACTTTATCGCGGCCAACCAGGAGGACCGCGCCGACAACGTGCTCCCCGGCAGCAAGGCGTCGTGGGACCACGTCGAGCAGATCCGCAAGGACATCCGCGACTTCAAGGCGGCGAACGGGCTGGACAAGGTGATCGTGCAGTGGACGGCCAACACGGAGCGGTATGCCGACATCATCCCGGGGGTCAACGACACGGCGGACAACCTGGTGCGGGCGATCAAGGAGGGCCACGAGGAGGTGTCGCCGTCGACGGTGTTCTCGGTGGCGTGCACGCTGGAGGGCGTGGTGTTCATCAACGGGTCGCCGCAGAACACGTTCGTGCCGGGGGCGATCGAGCTGGCGGAGCGGCACGGCGCGTTCGTGGGCGGCGACGACTTCAAGTCCGGGCAGACCAAGATGAAGTCGGCGCTGGTGGACTTTTTGATTAATGCCGGCATCAAGCTGACGTCGATTGCGAGCTACAACCACCTCGGCAACAACGACGGCAAGAACCTGAGCTCGCAGAAGCAGTTCCGGTCCAAGGAGATCTCCAAGTCCAACGTGGTCGACGACATGGTCGAGGCCAACACGGTGCTGTACGAGGAGGGCGAGCACCCGGACCATTGCGTCGTCATCAAGTACATGCCGGCGGTGGGCGACGACAAGCGCGCGCTGGACGAGTACTACGCCGAGATCTTCATGGGCGGGCACCAGACCATTTCCATCTTCAACGTGTGCGAGGACTCGCTGCTGGCGTCGCCGCTCATTATTGACCTTGTTCTCATCGCCGAGCTGATGACGCGCATCCAGTGGCGCACCCAGGCCGACGGCGACTTTAAGAGCTTCCACAGTGTGCTCAGCGTGCTTAGCTACATGCTCAAGGCGCCCCTGACGCCGCCTGGGACGCCCGTGATCAACGCGCTCGGCAAGCAGCGGGCGGCGCTGATTAACATCTTCCGGGCTTGTGTCGGTCTCGAGCCTGAGAATGACATGACCCTCGAGCACAAGCTGTTCTAAACTGACTGCGGATGGGTAGATGGAGGGGTGGAGGGATGGACTCTTCAAAAACCACTAGTCTTTATCTTACAAAGTGCGCCATTTCGCTGTGTATATCTGCGAGTCCCGGTCCTATGCGGTTAGGGGCTACAGATTGCAGGTGACCAATAAAACTCAGTCTTTACCGTGCTTTTCTTTGCCGAGACTTTTCTTGTGATGCAATCCTCGTCCTCTATCCACCTGTATTCTATGAGTCTCCGTCTCGGCTTTTCTCCCGAGGTTGACATGTGGTGCGAGGCGAGCTTGTCGGACTCGGGTACGAAGTGTCCGCGGAGGCAGAATGTTGCAAATACGAAAAGCCGACATGTTGTACTTGCGCATACCCGAGACTACAGTTCAACTGACCATTGCCCCCCCCTGCCGACCTGACCATTGCCCCTGTGCTACCCCCCTGCTAGCGTAAAGTTCACCTGACCTGACTATTGCTATAGGCTTTAGACCTCGCCCGACCATTGCTCGCCAAGCCAGTACTAAAAGAAGAAAAGAAAAGGGGAAAAGTCACCCGGCAATTATGTACCGCGACTCCGTGATCCTGAAGCATTGACCACCCAGTTTTGATTAAGCTTAAACATGTCTGCTAATGGCTGTCCTTGTCCCTTGTCCCCTGACCTTTGAGGGGGAAAAGGAAAAAAAAAGAAAAAAAAGAACAAAAAGAAGAAAAGGAAGAAAAATAAGAAAAGAAAAAAGGACAAAAGCCGACGCCAAGGGGGAGCGATGTGACGACATGAGACAGTACGAGATGAAGAGTTGGGATTGGTCTCTTGAAATTTCTTGTCCTTTTTTATGCATTTATTTTAGTTTCTTCTTTTGTCTCTGATAGTTTCTCAACTTTGATTGCATTCCCGATGGCCAATGTCTTACACCCTCAATGATAGCTAGGACCAAGGAGAGATCCGTTCCACCCCTAGACGCTTGTCTGCCACCGTCTCTTTACTCGGATCTTCCCTTTTCACCCCTCCTTCTCCCTGCCTCCCTTCGAAATCGCGTCCATTTCCATCAAGGACAACCCATGTGTGTTCTCGTCCTCCTCCACACCAGACACAGTCAACAGTCGTTGGACAACAACTACGATGCGGCTCTCCGCGCTTACGAGGGCCTTTGGGGCGGCTTCGGTTGCGTTTGGTACGTGCACTCGTCAACTTCTACACCGTGTTACTATGTGGTCAAATCGACCAGGGCTCCGGTTATCTGTCGAGGAATCGTCGGGTTTTGATCAAGCGACTCTCCCAAAGTATCCGAGCTTTGAAGAAGGGAAAGAAGGGAAAGAAGGGGAAAAAAAAGGAGGAAGAGGGAGAAAAGACAAAAGTCGAAACACGGGCATTCCCACAGCTAACAATGATCTGCGTCTTCGCATACAGCCACCTTCTTCCCCCTCCCCACAGTCGCCCAGAGCAGCAGCAACAACGACAACAACAACAACGACAATAGCCACGGCCAATCCACCTTCGTCACCAAAGACAACCTCCTCGCCTTCGCCATAACCGCCCCCGACTCCGCCGGCCGCGGCCTCTACTTCTCGCTCCGCGTCCACACGAGCCGCGCCTGGGGCGCCGTCGGGCTCGGCAAGGAAGACATGCCCGGCTCGCTCATCTTCCTGCTCCACCTCAACGCCGCCGGCGACAACGTCACCTTCTCCCCGCGGACGGCGCGCGGCCGCTACGAGCCGGAGCATTTCGCCGCGCTGGAATACGACCTGCTCGACGGCACGGGCGTCGACGAGGGCGGCTACATGACCCTCAACGCGCGGTGTCGGGACCACTGCCGCTCGTGGCCCGGGGGTGCCGTCGACGCGTTCGACCCGGACCAGAAGGCTATTTACGCGCTGGGCGCGCTGGGCGCCCCCGTGCGCGATGATGACCCGGACGCGCCGCTTGGGATTCATCGCGACGTCGGGGTTTTCCATATCGATTTGCGCCGCACGAATGACGTCGCGGGGGAGGAGGTGGCGACGCGGCTGGATGACGACTCGGTCACGAGGGGCGCGGTGCTGGTTCGGTCTGGGAGGGGGGGGAACCGCCACTTGCAGTCTACGTTTCATGCGATTTTCATGATCTTCGCCTTTTTGGGACTCCTCCCCGCCGGTATCGTTCTGATTCATATCGGGGGTTGGGTCCGATGGCACATCTTCATCCAGGTGGTGGCTTTTGTCTTTGTCGTTGTTGGAGTCGGCTTGGGCGTCTCTACCAGCTTGCTCTACCAGCGGGTAAGTAAAAGGGGGGAGAGAGAGGGAGAGAGGGAGAGAGGGAGAGAGGAAGAGAGAGAAAAGGAGCTCGCTGACATTTTTGTTCCATCATAACAGGCCCGCAATTTTAGAGATCCGCATCAGATCATCGGCCTCTTCGTCTTTGGCGTCTTTCTCATCCAACTCGGCCTCGGCTTCACCCACCACACTCGCTTTAAGAAGAATGCCGGCGTGCCAACCAAACTGGCCCTGCCCCATATGATCCTCGGCCACTTTATTGTTACCTTGGGCATTTCTAGCGCATTCCTGTAAGTCTCCGTCTTTCTTTTCCCCTTTCCACTGCCATTTGACTCCACAGCCCTTCCCAACAGAACTCGTCGGACTGAACCCCCCCTCCCCCCCTCCACAGCGGCTTCCCATTCGCCTTGAAAGGGCAATACATGTACGTCCTCCTCGGCCTCACCATCCTCGTCACCACCGTCGTCTTCGGCCTCATGTTCTTCAAGAAGTGGCTCCAGCGCCGGGCCAACCGCGGACAGCCCACGTCCTCGCAGCAGCAGCAGCCGTGGCGCGCGCAAGCCGGCGCCAACGTGGCACCCCGCGCGGGCTGGGGATCTACCGAGACCCCGACGCATTCTCCTCCCCGCGCCTTCGGGTACCAGCCGACAGGCCAGTCTTCCCCCCAGATCAGGCTATCGGACATGTCTTCGCAGACTTCCCTGGGAGGTGGCGGGCCAACGAACGACGACCTGGGGCCGGCACATACACCGAAGGCCATGCTATGACGGGGGTTTCTTACTCGAAGAAGGGTAGATAGATGTAATATTCTGATCTGGTGGTTTCCCGTTCCGAGGAGTGGACTGGACTCCTCGGAAGCCGGGTGCGTCGGGCCTTTATCGTTTTAGGTTTGGCGTTGGGAGTTGTTGGCATGGGCATGCATATATATATGAGTTTATGGTTCAGGGGCCTCGGGAGGTGGGATTCGGCATTTTGCTATGTTGGAGAGCGTGGGAGTCATGAGCTTGCATGTTTTTTTTTTTTTTTTTTTTCCCCCCCCCCCCCCCTTCTTTTCCGTCGGTTTCCGCACTCTTTCTCCGAGAAGACATGTGGGATAGAATGGTTGATCTCGATAAAGACGGGGGCGATGGCGTGGCACAGGGACAAGATGACGAATTCTGCAATTTCCCCAGCCTGTCTTTACCATCGAACATGACCGAGAATCATGACCGATATGATATGTCCGTACTTCTTTTCACTGCATTATACTCTCACATTCACATCCCACCATCCGCAAGACATGTGTCTTTGAGCAAACTCCCCCCCCAAGTTCCCCTTATTAACCCCTGTCCATAGGCCGGACAACGTCCGAGGTCGGTCAGGAACTGAGAGCGACCAACTACTGACAGACAGGACACGACAGACACCGAATATTCAGCTAGACTGAGAGAGCTGCTGCACAAGCTATCCCCTCTTGACTTCTCTTTCCCTTCTGATACCTACCTTTTTGCTCTCGTACATTTTCCATTGCTTGACGCTGAGGATAACACACGTCATACGATCCCTTAAGCCTTCAGGCCTACATCCGTGGCTCGCTGCCAAAGGAACAGGAGAATTTTCAATTACTCTTAACGTTTGGCCTTTTCATCCCGGAAGAAAGTTCGAGCCCCCCCTTTTGTGCCGGATGAGCCGGCGAGACTACGACCGACTTCCGGTCCAAGATGATAGCGATTCGGAGAACGAAGACGGGAATGGTTCGGATGATGAGGGTGGCTCAACAGATACCACACCACTTCGTTCTCAATCCCACCTGAGCTATCTAACTGAGCCGCCCCAGCACGGTAGAGATCCAGCCACCGTCAATGCCCGCCTATCCGGCCCGTACCGAACGTTGACCTTACTCGCTCCACCACTTTCATGGCCTACTCGTCATGACTTGCAGGCGCCGTACTTCCCGTTGGCCTAGGGATCCAAGATCCGATCTGCTTCGTGCTCCTCATCGCGATGCGCCCAACATGGCTTCCCCTCCTTCCCGAGATGATTTTCTCTAAAATCGGAAAGGAAAGGAAATTGAGGAATTAATTAGGAGGACGGCTGGCAACACCTGACACCTGTGCATCTACGACGTACGTCGGATTCGCTCAATTTCTCCACCTTGATTGAATTGCCACTGTTGATTGGTCCCCTGTACGCTTGAGAGTGCCCCACCTTTGATTAAAACACGTCCGGCGCGTCTTCACGCTCCAGGCGCGTCTCGCGACAAGGACCGACCCCCAACCACCACCACAACCGTTACCACCAAGATCAATATGAGAGCCCTCATCCCTCATCATCCACTTTAGGACCGTCACTTTTAGCACTCTCTTTTTTTGAACCTTGACCACAACTCAACTTTGACCATCTTACCCTCTATCATTACATTTCCATTCGCCATCATCACCACCACCACCATCATCCACAATCTGGTCCTCACCGTGTCATGACCTACTTCCTCTAATTCCTATTATCATCACCACACTTTATTTTGACCGCACGATGGCTGCGACGCGGTCCCCCTCCCCCTCCCCCTCGCCTGTGGGCTGCAGCAATAGTCCCAGCCTTAACTTTCTTCTCTCCCCCCGATCCCGTCTGGAAGCACGCCTTGCCGCCATTGACACGAGCTCCGATGAAGACGATTCCCTCCCAACTTCCTTGAGACGCCGGAAGCCCTCCTCCGAACCAACAACATCCACTCAACCTGCGACTGCCGGTTCAGAGGACGAATCTGACGGAGATGATATTCGGCCCAGAGGACGCCTCGCTGCTCAGATGCAAGCTGGCCTTACGAGACGAGAGGCAAACAATGACGAGGACCAAGATGCCGACGACGACGACGACGACGACGACCAAGACATCATCTCAGCGGCACCTCGTCGTCTCAAGCGGAAGATCACCCCCCGTGCCTCAACGCCTCCTCCTCGAAGCCCCTCTGTCACGTCATCTGTCGCATCAAGCCCGGGTCTCTTCGTGACCCGTCACCCTTCCCCCGGTCAAGAAGAAGAACAACAAGGAAATCCCCCGGCCTCAGACTCAGGCTCCGACTCAGACGAGCTACCGAGCCTCACGAAGAACCCCCGCTTCCAGGCCCTACTAGAACGCAAGCGCAAGGAGAGGCTCGCAAAGGAGGCCGAGGAGGAACGCAAGCGGCAAGAGAGGATGGCCCGTCTGGCAGAGCTGGGCGAATTCGAAGACCCGGCCGACGAAGAAGGAGACGCGTCGAGCATCGCCGACGACGAGGGCGGCCGGAGGCTCACACAGGGAGCTCGGCCTCCCCGCAGGGCCGGCAAGAAGGCCCTCGAGGAGATGCATCGAGAGACCCAGCGTATGGCGCGGAACATGCAGCTCGCCCACGAAGCGAAGACGAGGAAGAAGATCACCAAAGCGAGCCTCTTTGAACGCTTCAAATTCAAGACGCCGGATTCCGCCCAGCCCGTGAATACTGCCAGTTCCAGTCGCCCGACCACGCCCACGTCGCCGCACCATACCGATACCGACATGAAAGATGCCGAGACGCCCCCGAGTTCGCCTCCCCGTGCCGAGAAGCTCGCGACACTCGAGGCTACGAAGGCTACGGCAGAACGTACCGCCACGGAATTGGTTACTACGCCTACCAAGACGGGAGAGGACATGGACGAGTTTCCAGCCCTTGAAGCCGCCATTGACGCCGCAGCGGCGGCAACTGCTGTGAAAGTGGACAAGGGCAAGGGCTTGGCCGTAGACTCTCCGAGGAAAGCGGCCACAGCCGCCGATGTCAAGCCCAGGAGAAAAGTGCGCGTCAAGCTGCCCCCCCTCTCCGCCGACCTGGCGGTGGCCACGGCTTCCGACGACGAGCTAGAAATCACCCAGACGAGGCGAAACAAACTCGACGCCATCTTCGACCGCGTGCCGGAGAAGAAGGCCCAGCAGGGCAACTCGATGCACGCCCTGCGCATCCTCGCCCAGCTCAAGTCCCCCGGCGGCAACGAGGCGCGGAGAGGGAAGGACCACAAGCCCTCGATGACGCCCGGCGAGCTGCAGCTCATGCTCTACCGGCGGGCGAGGCAGCAGGCCAAGGAAGAGCGGGACCGCCGCATGGAGATGCTCAAGGCCAAGGGCATCGTGGTGCAGACGGAGGAGGAGCGCGAGAACGAGTTGCGGCAAGTTGATGACATTGTCGCCAGGGCGCGCCTCGAGGCCGAGGAGATCATGAGGCGCGAAAAGGAGGCCGCGAAGGAGGAGAGGCGGCGGAAGGTGGAGAGTGGAGAGCTTGATCCCCTCGCTTGGGACGACAGCAGCGATGACGAGGAGTATCAGGGTTCCGACGCGGGCCAGGAGGATGATGAGGATGCCGCTGGCCTGGAGCTTGAGCTTGAGCTCTCCGGCTCGGAAGCCGAGGGCGAAGCCGAACTCGGTGTTGAAGACAAGTCGGGCCACGACGAGGAAACGCAGCAACCGGATTCGGACGAGGAGGGGATTGCGTTCCCTGCGAGGAATATCCGTCGACCCAAGAAACACGTCCAGGTCGTCTCCGATGATGACGAGGAAGAGGATGGCGGCCACCAGAAGGACATGATCGAGGCAACGCCGAAGCCCAAGACGACCGCCCAAGTATCACCCGCACCACCGAAAAGCGACTCTCCCGCCATCCCGACGTCTGTTCTCCGTTCGGCGAAGAAGTCATTCATTCCCGGGCTGCCCGTGGTGGGCGCTGCCGGGCTGGGGCTGACGCAAATCTTCGCCGGCACCATGGACGACGGCAGCCAAGACCGACAACTGCCCGAGAGCGCGTCCATGGCGTTGCCCATGCCCTCCCCGACTTGCGGTTTCCCCAGCTTGGACCTTGGCCAGGACGAAGCTGACACGCAGCCCGGCGATGAGATGGTCTTCGACAGCCAGGGCGGCGGTAATACCCGGAAGAGAGAGACACAGGCCAACGAAGAGACGAAGGGAGTGCAGCTGCGGTTCACGCAGTCCCAGATGCACGGCTTCGACAGTCTCTTACGGCAAGAAAGGGACGTCGGCTCGACGCAGCTGACGATGGAGCCGTCCCAGGATGTGGGCCTGCAAGAGTACACTCCTCTTCGGGAGCGATTCATTGAAGGCCCGGCCTCCACCGCGCACACGGTTACCCTGGACAGGGTGGCGGAAGACGAAGCGGAGGAGGTTCAAGATTCGCCTCTAGTACGACGAGGCCGACTGCGACTCCGACGGAAAATGGAGGTGTCCGACGAGGAGGAGGCCGAGGAGCCGACAGCATTCGAAATGCTGCAGGCGGCCGCGAGAAAGGAGGAGAAGCAGGAGAAGCAGAAGGCGTTGGGCAGGAAGAAGAGCAAGGCCAGGGAGATGTTCGAAGAACAGGCCGAGGAGTCGGAAGACGAATACGCCGGACTGGGTGGCGCCGACGGCGAAGACAGCAGCGGAGACGAGGACTCGGCATCGATAAAGGACATGATCGACGACGAGGCGGGCAAGGACGACAACGGCGACGACGAGCGCAAGATCGCGGCCCTCTACGCGGACCGCGAACGCGCCCGCGACGAGCAAATCGTCGACAAGCTCTTCCGCGACGTCACCACGGGCATGCTCCGTCGCAAGCGAGGCGCCGACTACGGCCTCTCGGACTCGGACGACGACGGCGGCGAGGCGCGTCGGCGTCTGAAGCGGCGGCAGTTCGCCAAGATGCAGAAGGCGCTCTTCGCCGACGAGCGGATCAAGAAGATGGCGGAGAAGCCGGGGAACCAAGCCTTCTTGCGGACCATCGAGGACCGAGGTAGTGACGAGGAGATGGATTTCCTGGATATTGGGCCCGATCCCATGGACGTGGACGTGGAGAACTCGCACAATTCCTCCTCGTCGTCGCAGGACCAGACGGTGCCGGACAGCCAGCCGCAAGCTGAGAGCCGGGCACCGCTGGGCACGGCCGGAAATCGCGGCTTCGCCAACCCCCGGCGGACCAAGGACGCAAAGAAGAAGAAGAAGCCGTCCAACATTGGAGAGATCCGCGAGTCGCTGTCTAGCCTCCTCGAGGAGCCGGAGGCGCCTGTTATCCCGGTCACGGAGGTTGGGTCGGACAGCAGCGAGGGGGAGGACGATGAGGTGTCCGGAAGGTCAGCAGCAGCAGCCGCCGCGTCTCGCAGCGACAAGGAGAACACAAGTCCCCGGGGACGCAACAGGCGGCGGACGGGGATGGGAAGTCGGCCAGCAGCGGCGGGAATTATCGACCGCATGAGCCTCAAGCGCGAGTCGTCATCCAACGCGTCGACTCATTCTCGCGTCGCGTTTGCCAGATCGGCAGCGGGCGGGTCCGGGTCCTCTGGATTCAAGGTTCCCGCGTTGCTGCGGCGGGCTACGACCAATTCTCTGTCTCTGGGCGGTAGTGCTTCGACTACGACTACGACTACGTCTACTACTGCCGGCCGTCACAGCGGTGCCGGATTCGATGAGGGGGTGATCAAGAAGGCGGCCGGGAAGAGATCGACCATCAGCGCTCTTGCGCGGGAGACGGAGCGGCGGGCAGCTATGGCGCAAGGGGAGAAGAGGAGGGAGGCGAAGAAGTGGAAGGGGGCGGAGATGCGAGGCAAGGCGTTTGGGGGGTTGATAGGGGCTGGGAAGTTTGAGTAATGGTTTTTTGTGTCTTTGTCCTTGCCAGTGTCAGACTGACAAATTGGGGTTTTTGAGGGACGGGGGAATAATTTCATCGTCTGGGTAGTATGGCGTTGGGGGAAAAGGGGTAGGGGTCTTTTGGTGTTGAGGTGTTGGACAAGAGGGGCATTCGGTTTAATGGTCCTGGGTAGGAATATTGATACAGGAATTCAATCTATCTGCCGACTCGTTATATGCGAAGAGGTTGTATTACCCCTGTGATCATAATTGTTCCGTCGATATAGTCGTTGAGGTGGTGGTTGAGGCGGTTCAGGGGGTGGTTCAGGGGGTGACGGGCAAAAATGCGTATATCGGTTAAATTCCAATAACGCGGTGTAAGCTTTAACCAGTATATGACTTCATCGAGTTTTATGACCTCACCACCACGCCGCCGCTAATTACTTACGACGACGGAATATCCCCAAGCCGCACTCCTCGGAACAACCCCAAGACAGTATAAATATAATACTACATACACTCTTCTCGTGCTTCAAGGAAAGATAACCCGATTGCGACACTGGGCAATGAAACTCCTCGTCAGGTCTGGGGGGGGTTTCCAAGGCAATTGTCCCGAAAAGCAGGCTGAGATACAATCAACGCCCCGAACCATGCCCTCTGACGGCGTATCATGACACACGGCGGACATCCTCCTCCTTCAGTATGGAATGAATCCCATTTTCGTCTACTGGATCTACTAACCAAGTATCCGGTCGCAGACACCGACCCCACGCCGGTTCCTCCTCTCGAAACGCGGCGCCCCTTCTTCCGCCTCCGCCTCCGCCTCCGCCTCCTCCTCGCAGCACCAGCTGCAGCCCCAACACGCGCAGCAGCAAGAGCAAGAGGCCACTGCCGGGCCACGGCAGTTTCAAGTACCCCCCTTGGCCGGTAGCGGCAGTCAGCGATTTCACTCCACGCCGCGGTTCGCTCCCCCGTCGTCGTCGTCGCCGTCTTCGGCCAACACCCCCCCCGGCCCCCGCTCGACCACGCATGCGCCTGCGGGGCTGGGGCTGACCTCGTTGGGGTTCGCCTTTTCGGGAACACAACGACGGCAGCGAAATGATCCGATCCGGGATGATGGGCCGGAGGAGGAGGAGGAGGCGGGGGGTTCGTCGCCTTTGCGGAAAGCGCGTGATGCGCCGTCTGTGGCCGTAACTGTAGCGCGGCGGGATTCGATTGAAGGCGATTCGACTTGCGATTATACTTCTGGGGAGGACCGAGCTGAGGAGGAGGAGGGTGGGGGGGAGGAAGAAGAAGAGGAAGAGGGAGAAAGAGTGACGAGTGATGTCGATGCAGACTCGGAGGGACCGACGCCCAAGAGGAGGAGGTTTGAGGTTTCTTCCGAGGACGGAGATGAAGAGGAAGAACAAGAAGAAGAAGAACAAGGACAAGGACAAGAACAAGACCAAGAAGATGGAGATGGAGATGAAGATGATATGAGTGTGACCATGAGTGTCGAGGAACAACTTGCCAGCGACGACAAGGAGGACGAACTATCGGAGGCGCTGCCCGAGTCACATCTGGCACAACGGTCCGAAGACGGCACACATCAAAAGCAGCAGCCCACCTTCCAACCGGCACCGCGCTTCAAGGTGTCGGAAGCCGAGACGACGGCGCGGGCGGAGGGCCTCCCGGAAGCTTTCTCGCCGCAGAGACGCGGGACGAGGTACGTCCCGGGGGGGCTGGCGGCGGGGTTGCAGTCGTGGCTGGCGGAGGTCAGGGAGTGGGGTGATGATGTGGATGGAGGGTGGGCTGTCCATACGAACATGAACATGAACATGAACATGAACACCAACACAAGCGCAAACACAAATACAAACACTGCGGTGCGAGTGGCAGTCGACGAGGTGAGGGATGGGAGACGGATGTACCTGGTCCAGGGACGTAGAGTGACTACTGGGCCGCGGGACGGAGTGTCGATGAGACTGATCCTGGCCGGGGAGGGAAAGCTGACGGGGCTGGCGAGGAGGGCGTCGGTCCGGGTTGGGAGTGTCTTGGTGATTTCGCAGCCCACCTGGGAGGTGACACTGGAGAATCAGGGAAGATGGACCGTTGCGTGTGATTGGGTTGTCCTTGGGAAGGATACTGGGTTGTTGACATGAGCCCGTGATCTTGATAAATTAACTGCCCTTTTTTGTATTTTTCTTCCTCTTTTTTCTCTTTTTTTCTCTCCCTTTTCCCCCTCTCTTTGTACAATGACAAGAGTGGGATAGGCAGGTGGTGACAGCTGCTGACACCCGTCCACGTACCCGTAATAAAGACGAAAACGCGTCTCATAGAATCAAAGCATCACGACTCGGATCCTCATCATGCAACTCCCTCATCATCTTTATGCCATGTCTCAACTTTTCCTATCAAGAACAAAACCTTCAGTACTTCGATTGCCCTTGTCTCTCCTTTCTCCGAGGACTGCATTTTCCTTCTCTACCACATGCTCAAGACACAAAATCTCGGATCCCCTCCGGATCCTCTTCTGCGGCTCCGATGAGTTCAGTATCGCCGCCCTCGAGGCCCTACACAGGGAACATCTCAGCAGTCACTCACTCGTAGAGTCTATCGACGTCGTTGTGAGACCTGGAAAGCCGACGGGACGAGGCATGAAGACTATCCGCCAAGGTGGGTAGATATATCTTCTTCATTTTTTATTGAATTCTTCTCTCGATTTTAAAACACCCCTTGCGTCTTATATCGTCTTATATCGTCTTGTCCAGCTCGTACTCACTCTTCTTGTTAGTTCCCTTAAAGTCCACAGCTCAGCAACTCGGGCTTCCGGTCCATGAGTTGAATACCTTTACCGGATGGACCGTTCGTCTCACTCATTTCCCCTACCCATTCGTTCTTGAAAGAAAGGAGCATAAACTGACAAACTCGTCTTTGAAGCCGTCCTTTGAGATTAACCTCATTGTTGCCGTCTCCTTCGGTCTTCTCGTCCCACCACGTCTTCTTCGTCTGGCCAAGTACGGTGGTCTAAATCTGCACCCCTCACTACTCCCAGAGTACGTTCACCGTCAAGGGTCACCAGTCGCTCGTCGCCCGTCGCCCGTCACCCGTCACTATACCCTACTTCACATCCAACTGGCTAACCTCACGGCTGACAACCTCTCCCCCCCGCCTCTAGTCTTCGTGGCCCAGCACCCCTCCACCACACTCTCCTCCTGAACCGCCGCCACACAGGCATAACCCTCCAGACGCTCCACGAATCCAAATTCGACCACGGGACCATCCTCGCCCAGACCCCAGCCCCGGGGCTCCCCGTCCCGCCCGACGCAGACCTACCGACCCTCCACAACCTCGTCACCCCGCCCGCGGCCGAGATGCTCATCCAGGGTCTTCGTCGGGGGCTTCACGTCCCGCCCTTGCAGCCCGTCAGACGACAAGCCCGAGGCAACGAGGACGAGGACGAGGACGAGGGCGAGGGGGAGCAGAAGTATGCCCACGCGCCCAAACTGACCAAGGACGACCGTCGCGTGCGCTGGCGCCACTGGACTGCGGACGAATTTGTCCGGCGGTGGCGCGTCCTCGGCCCGCTCTGGGGTCAGGTCCGCGTTCCTTCCCCCCCTTTTTCCGGGGTTGGCGTCGCTGGGCAGAAGAGTAGCGGCAGTAGTAGGAGTAGTAGTAGTAGGCGGCTCATTCTCGAGAACGTATCGGTTGTCCCTTTCGCGGAGGTGGACAAGTTGAACGAGTCTGCTGCTACGCCTGACACTGATGGCAAGAGAGTCGTCGCTTGGGTGGAAGGGAACGGGAAGGACGCGGTGCCGGATTCGGATACTCAAGTGGCTTATTTCGATTCCGGGGCCGGTGATGGGAGTGTACTGATGGTCCCCCCCCGGGGAGGCGATGCGTATCTGCGCGTCGCCAAGATTAAGGCTGAGGGTGACAAGAGTAAGCCTGCGACGCGGGTTCTGTTGCCACTTTCGACCGAGGAAGGGCCTGCGTAGGGGTATTATGCACGTCCAAATAGAAGATGAAGGGAATAAGAAGGAAAAGGACAAGAGAAACAGATACCATCCGCTAATCCATCCTGTATCACGACGCATCACATCGCATTTAAGCCAAGTCTAAGGAATTTGGTGGCCAAAGCCTTTTCCTTTTCCTTTTCCTTTTCCTTTTTTATTTTTATTTTTATTTAATTCAGGGAGTAGAGAGAAGAAGAGATGAGCTACTACATACAAATCAACGCCATACATACAAGAATCCCTGAGATTCATTCGTTACTGATTCCCGATTCCTGCAATTTCCGGTCCAGCTTCTCAAAACTTGGTTCTTCGGTGCGACATGATGAAGGCCAACGAGGAAGAGAGAGAAGAAAAGGGCAACAAAGCAAATTTGTCTGTTGGGCGAGACCATCGTTGGATCCCGAGAAGCAAGTTGAGGTGGGAAGAAAAGGGGTTGTTCCTCTCTCTCTCTCTCTCTCTCTGAATATATTTTCTGTCGGTGAGTTTCGTGCTGATTTTCGGTTTTCGTTTCGTTTCATCGTGTTTTCCTTTCTTTCTTGTTTTTCTTCTCCCTTTCTTCCGACTGCTGAACTGCGCCGTCGACTCAACCGTCCAGCTCGTCCAAAAACTCGTGATATTCCTGTGACCGAAGTAGTCTGCGGACCTCCTGACGCCCGATATGCGACACGATTCGCTTCATCGAAGAATGTCCATGGGCATTGCCACCAGGAAGAAGGGGAGACGTCGAAATGGAGGGCGTCGTAGTAGAAGGATGCGCCTGGCGAGTCTGACCACCATTCTTGACGCCGGCATTCCCACTCCCACTGCCATTGGCCCGACCTGACCTATTGCCATAAAGCAGCCTCTTCTCATGCGCCTCCCGCCGCTGCACATCAATCGGGACCCTGTCCGAGTCGGAGGAAACATAAAGCGGATATCCCAGACGGTGCTCCAGAACCTCCACTTCCATGGTGTGCGCCGTCACAAAGTGGTAAATGTGGACCGTCCGCGTCTGCCCGGCTCTCTTGGCCCGTCCGATGGCCTGCCGGTGGTAGGCGTAGTAGCTCTCCGTGTCGGTATGCAGCGGCGAGGCGAACATGACGTGGTTGACCTCGGGCAGGTTGGTGCCAGCCGACTCGGAAGTGAGGAGGCTCTGGATGAGGACCTTGGTCGTCATCTTGCCTTCGCCTTCTTTTTGCATCTTGAACTTCTCAATGACACCGCCATCTTGCGGGGACCCCGTGGTCATGTAGACATCCAAGCCGGCGTCCTTGAGCGCCTCGAACAGCTGCGTCTTGAGAGACTGGAACCCCACGAAGACGAGCGCCTTTTCTCCTTTCTCGACGACACATTTCTGAATCGTCTCGACAATCTTTCGCACCTTTGCGCTTGGTCCCCTCAACGTAATCGTCTCGTTGTCGTCCGTATCGACATCAATCTTTCCCGTGATGATCTCGTCAGTACGGACCAGAGAATCCCCATCCATCGAGCCACACGAAGGCGCCGCGCACTTCTTCGCTCCAAAAGTCGCGGCAGTGGCAGTGGCTTCGCACGGCGACTGGAATGCACGGGCGCACGCACAGCAAACGACATGCCCACACGCCATGAAGAGATAGACCCGGTCGAGGGGCGTATCCGCCGTGATCTCCCTCTTGCACTGATCGCAGTCGATTCTCCTGGCATCATCAGGCGCGCCCCTGCTGAGCAGCTCGATGATCCGCATGACGACGCGCAGATTGCGGTAGCTCTGGACAAACTTTCTGATGCCCTCGCCGACGTTCTGCACGGACATCTGGAAGTGGTTGATGACTTGGTCTTGCTGCACGCCCCTTTCGCTGATCTCTTCGCCGCTCTTGGGACGCGACGCGTACAGTCGGCTGCCGAACATGAAATCCTTGGCTTTCGTCTGATCGGCCCAGTAGGCGGGGAGACACTCCTTGGTCTTCAGCCCGACGTGGTCGGCCACTTCGTTCTCATTGGCAGCTCGGCGCTTCGTTAAGACGTCCGTCTCCAAGAGATTCTTCACCGCGGCCCTGAGGTCGTCTTCTCCCTCTTCTTCGGGTCCGTTCTTCTCCTCCGCCTCCTCCTCCTCGTGACCTGTTTCGCCGTCTTTGCTCTTGTCGTTGTCGCAACAGTTGTCAAACTGGGTCAAGACCGCCTTCAAGTAGCACAGCTCCGCCCGAGACATTGTGGCAAGGTCCTCCTCGGTCAGATTCCACCAGTCGAGGGGGGTATGAATCCCTCTGCCGCCGTACCAGGGAGACCACTGCTCCGGGTCCCAAAAGTCTCTTTCATCATCCCCCGCCTCCGCACGGGGTCCCATTTTCGGTGCTACGACGTCAAAGAGAACCGCCCTGATTTGGTTATCGCCCAGCTTCTCTGCCGGAATCGTCGGCGTCCTGATCTCCTCTAGCAAGTCGTTCCAATGAGCGATGTACGTCTCCCGCTTGGCGTTCTGAGTCTGGGTGAGACGGATTCCGGGATCAGCAGCATCCCGCAAGGCCATGGCGAGCAAGTACATGGTCATGTCGAACTGACTCTTGAGCATCCTCTTGTAGCGGGTGATCTCCCTCTCGTAAACGCTCCAAACGCTCTGGGTAATCAAGTCAATGGCGTTCCCGCTGTCCGAGACGTCGAGGTCCATGCTCTGCAGGCTCTTCGCAAACGGTGCCAAGTTGAGCGATGCCTGGGCTAGCAGCGCCTGGATGGTGTTTCTCCACGTCGTTCGCAGGTTCTCCCGAGCTCGGTTGTGTCTCTGGGAGGAGGAAGAAGAAGAAGAAGACGAAGAAGAAGCCACGTCGGCGCCTGCCAGCAGAGATAACATGATGGGCTTCAGCTCATCAGGCACCTCCTCGGTATCCCAGTTCGCGTCGCGCAGCCTGCGGTGAAACTGGTAGTACACGACGGCGCTGATAGGATCCAGGTAGCACACGACGGCCTGCTCGGTGGTCTGGATGTGCGACGTGTCCGTCTCCTGCTGGCGCACCTTCTCCTCGAGAAACCGGCAAGCGTGCTGGTGACGTTCGAGAGCAAACTGCGCCGTCTTGGGCACTCCGTACGATCGGAGCGACTCGGATTTCGTCAGGTAGTCGGGTCGAGGTCCTTTGGTGATGGCAGGGAACCACGAGGGAACGGACGGCTCATAGCGGGCGATGTGGATGTTGATCAGGTCGCCCATGGCGCACACCTGGGCCAGGTTCGCCACGGGCGGCGTGCCGGAGAGAATCCACTTGGAGCCGGCCACGGCGTTCTTGACAAAGGCGGAAAGGAACTTGTTCTCGTACGAGAACTCGTCCATCACGACGCGTTCGAAGGTGTACAGCTGGAGCAAGGTGCCCGTCTCGAAAACGCAACGGACCTCCTCGGTGGACACTGTGGAAGCCAACTTTCGAGGGCCCTCCCCGTCGTGGTTTTCTTGCTTCTGCTGCTGCTGGCCCTTCCCAGTCGTATGTTGCAGAGGAGAACTCCCCGTTGTCGTCTTCTGCGCCTTCCTGCTCGAGTCGGGAACTCGCTTTCCCAGCGCCTGTCGAAGCTCCTTGTCTCGCACCTGTTGCAGCTCGCGGATCTCGTCGGCCGCCTCGACATGTCCGTCCTCCTCCCACGTCTGTCGATGAAGTCGAAGCCGATCCAGACTGTCGCGATACCACTCCCCAAACACGCGCTCCGGTAGATCCCTGACATTCGCTTCGCGCTCACCAACGAGGAACGCCAGCTTTCGCAAGCTCTTCAGGTCCTCGATCACCGAGCTGCTCACAATCACAATGTCGGCTCTCTCGAGGCTCGCTCTCAGAATCTTCGTCGCCGATTGGATTGTCACAATCTTCCATCCCTTGCCTAGAAACTTTTTCGCCTCCGACTCCCACTGTCGGACGATTTGCGGAGGGCAGATGATGAGGGAGGCTTTGAGGTGCTGATGGCCGTGTTGGGTCCAGTTCAGGCGTTCCTCTACACTCCCGTGCGGGTTCTTCAGCTTCTGATAGTCGATCAGGCCAAGGGTGACGACCGTCTTTCCATAGCCAACGTCATGCGCAAGGACGCCGCCCCGGGCGTGGTTCGTCGCCTCGGCGTGCGCTCGCATGCGCATCGTGTCCGAGACGAGGCACTCTGCCGTCTCCCTCTCGACAAAGCACGTCGCGGGGCTTTCCTGCTGCACCATCCAGAGGACGGCCTTTCTCTGATCGGGTCTGAGTTCCATGTTGTTCTTCGCGAACGAGGGGGGGATGATCTGTTGCTCGGCATCTGCAAAGTCGGGAGGGGAGTTGTACAAGCCGGCCAGCAAGTGGTGACGGAAAGGGGCCAGGTTCTTCAGACTCGGATCGACGAAACCGACTTCCACGCGGAAACCCATTCGCTGCGTCGTATCACGCCTGAACGTCCTCACTTTCTCTGCGACGCCATGTTGCGACGACAAATTCTGCCAAGCTTCGTGGGCAAGAGCGGTGGGATTGACAAGGAACCTCATCAAGAGCTCGGGGTACACGGGGCTCTCAAAGTCGGGGCGCACGGAGTACAGGTGTTGTCCCGCGAGTCGCTTCCCCCCCGCTTCGACCAGCTGCACGTCGAGCTCCAGGGGCAAAGGGCGCTTGTCGAGGGCCTCGAGGTAGCGCGGCAGTTCCGCCGGGTCCTCGAACACTTCCACAAACTTGGCCGATTCCCAGACCCGGAACAGCTTCGGCTTTCGAAAATCGGCGTCAAGCTGTTCGAGAGTCGCCTGCCCACACTCCACGAGGAGGCCCTGACGGATCTCCCTGGGGAAGAAGTGAGGACCGATCATCCGGGTGGCGAACTCGACCACGCGCAGGGCATCGCGATGGTGATCTTCTTGAACCCTGAGCCACATCCCGGAGCCATCATCTGCTTGGAGAGCCAAGTGTTGGAACACCTGGCCGTTCGTGTTCCACAGCTTGGGGAGCAACGGGACCGGGAAGTGCATGTCGGGAATCGGAAGCCTCAGCTGCATCAGGGGAAACAGTCCCTGTCCAGGGTCGGGGAAGAAGCGTTTCAGGCCGTGACCAACATGCATCTCCTCGAAAGCAAAGCCGACGGGTTGCAAAACGCCGGGTGGGAATTGGGCGACGCGGAAGCCACGAAGGCTCGGCCAGTTCGAATTCGAATTCGGTGGACTGGCAAAGGCCCTGAACCACTTGACGGGAATGGGACAATCGAACGTGCCACGTCCTCCCAGCTGCTCCTAGCGCTTGGGGAGGCGGCATACGATGTCCCGGTATTCGTCAGGATCGACCTTCCTCACACTTCGAGCCAGAACCCAGTGGTCTTGGCCGGGCGAGGTAGCCCTGCCGACGTCCTTGAAAGCATAAAGCGGACGCCGTCGGCCGGCATCGCCGAGACGAGTATAAAGCACACCCATGGGAGTACCGCAGCATGTGCTGCGCTTGAATTCGCCTCTGAGCATCTCTACAAGATCGGAGACCCCGGGCTCCTGACGGCACTCGGTGATCAGACGGCGGTCGTACGCCTCGACTTCGCAAGCGAGTCCCTGGTCGGTGGGCGAGAAGGTGAGGGTGATGGCGTCCTCACCGCGCGACCAGAAGATGTTCCAATCCTCTGCTTCCGGAAGAAAACTGAGCTCCGGGTCGTCAATGATAGCGCGAGCAATGGGCACTCTAGGCTCCCACGCCATCGTTCCCCGGATTTCTTCGGCGGCGCTGGAGCCTGCGTGCAGGAAAAGCTGCCATTTGATGCAATCTTCTTCCATCACCAAGTCCATACGACAGTCGCGGGACATGTAAGTCGCAGTGATCACTTGGCGGACGTGAATCTTGGTCAAGTAAAAGACCGAATCGAGAACGGCGCACAGGTTCTTCAGCAACACGTGTAACATGTCCGCGTTCAAGCTCGAGTCGGCGTCACCAACCAGATGGCGAAGGATTCGCTGCGTGTCGAAACGGTGGTCGCTGGCATGGAGGCCGTCCCTGGCGAGACGGAAACGTCCCGGCAAGAGTCGATACAGTGCCGCGGTGGTCTCGTCCGTAGAGCAGACGTCGTTCTCGAGACGATATTCCACAAAGTCGTGATCAGGGTTGCCGGCGCATTCGTTGCAGCGGATCTCTTCGCAGATGGCGCATTTCTTTAGACCCCTGGCCGGGTGGTGTTTGCGAAACCCACCGCAGGGGCAGTATCGTCTTCCCCGAGCGTAGATGTCTAGCAGTTCGCCGACCTTGGTGAACTCTCGCCTCGTGGTGGAGAAGTGAAGGGACGTCTCCAGTCGGGCGGGATAGAGTAAGCGGCCGCCACTACGCTCTCGGTGACCCAGGACAGGCAAACGACGAATGATGTCCGCCTCATCTTCCTCGTCGGATCCCTTTAGGGCCGATTCTTCCCCCATGACCTGGCGTTCCGCAATAAAGACGGCAAGCATGGCTGCACCGACGACCGTTGCCGTCATGGCATTGCCGGCCAAATCGTGCAGCTCGCGTTGGGTCTCGACCGAGATGCGCACGCGATCCAGGGGGATGGCTTGCAGCATGAGAGCCTCGGCGCCCAAGACGGGCCGGCCCTGATCGGTGAGGAACAGGTTGGCGTCCGGCAAGATGCAGCCGGCGATCCCCAGCTTTCCGTTCATACGCTCCACGCCCTGGCCGAGATCCAGCGTCTTCGTCTTGTGTTCGAGATCCGTGCCTTCCTTCTCGGCCTGGAGGAAAACGATGTCGAGGAGGTCGAGGACCCGGTTGCCCTGCGACTGGAGGAACGCGCGCCAGGCGGAATCCTTGGGGGTCACGTTCCCGCGGGCGTCGAGGCGGGTGTAGGGGTGCGTCGGTCCCAATCCTCTCTCGCGCCGGACTTTGGCGTGGTCGTAGGAACACATGCGTGCCTCGGGGTCTCTCGTCAGGTTCTCGGCCACCCGGCGCTCATCGACGAACCGGGCCTCGAGGATCTTCGGGTCGTCCGGCGCCAGGAGAAACTTGTGTATGGGGGGGTGGCCATTCTCGAACCAGTTGCTGCCTCGCATGAGCCGGGCCCAGGTCTCGGCGATGGCCTGTGACTGCTCGCCATAGTGCCACTGGTCGACGGCGACGAGATAGCCACGGTTGCGAGTCTGCGGGACCAAGAAATCCTTGCTATCCACCTTGACAAACTCGGCCACGTATCCAACAAAGGGCATCCAAAAATTGGAGAATTGTTTCCAGGGAGCCCCGGCGACGTTTTCCAAAAGAACCACCTTGGGCCTCTTGTGGTAGATGTACTGGATGAGCGCCACAAAGGTCCGCGTGGACTCTCCTTGTCCACCCAGAGCCAGGGCAGCTCGCTGTTTCTCGAAGAACTCGACCACCTCGTGCCGGGCCGAGGGCGGGCGGGGCTCAACTTTCTCCGAGGCCTTGAACTCTTGCCACGTCTGGTTGAGGATGGAGCCTGCCCAGAGCGGGTTCCTCCGGTTGTTCTGCTTGGAGAAATCGACGCACGAAGAGCCGGCTACCAACAGGTCCGGTGCTTCTGGGATGGGTGCCATGGAACCTTCGGCAGTCATGCTAAGCCGACTGTCAGTTGTGTCTTGCTCTGATCACTGAGAAGCGGGGGGGGCAAAAGCCAGAGCAAAGCGTAACCTACGCTGTCCTCTTATCCGGGTCTGCCAAATCAATAGCATTGCGATAAATGTGACCTCTGGGCTTGGAGTTTCTGCCAATGAAAGCCGCCTTGTATTTCTCAATCTCGACGCTGAATTCATGGTCAAAGTCCAGGAGGACTGGGTGTCCTTGAGCAATGGCCGCATCCCGGAGTTCACGGAGGGCAAGAACGGGGGCATCGGAGCCCGAGAACATGGTTCCGATGGTGAACTTGACGCGGCTGGTCGAGTCGAGACCCAGAGCCAGGGCCTTGGCCAGAAGTCTGGAATAAGCATCTCGAGGTCGTTCTATAGCGTTAGGGGGCTCGCTTGGGAACCCAAGCTCGCAAGATCTTCCCCGAGGCATTTGGAAGGAGTAGGGAATGAGTCGATCACAGTCATCGCTAACCGTTACGACCATCTCGAAAGGAAGATTGACTCGTATGCCAAGTCCAGCTCCTTCGTTGGATCCCGGGCTCGATAGCTGGTCGGCCATAGCAACGGCTCGAGGGAGTAAGCCGCTTCAGAGCTCGAGCGTAAGTTTTGGCAAAGGAGAACCAAGAGTGCAATGCAACGGTGAGCTGAAGGGCAAACAACAAGACAGAGCCCTGTCCACCTGAGAGAGGGGGAAAAGAAAATAGGAGGTAAAGAGAAGGGTAAAGGGGCAAGGGGGCAAACAGGGTATGAATAGCAAAAGGATGAAGGGTTGAAGATGGGAGGAAGGAATTGGTGATCTAGAAAGAGAGCAAAGGAGAAGAGAAGAAGAAGAAAATTAAGAAAAGAAAAGCTGCACAGGAAGGTACGTGAGCCTCGGCGGGGAATATCAAAGAATCACATAAACGTGGGTATAGATAGTAGGGCAAGAGCATCGTGGGAGTCAACCCTGCGGCTCGCCTTGAATCCGTAGCTCTCTCTGAAGGCGGGCCTCCATTGGATCTCCGCTTGTTAAGGGGTTGGTTCACACCGAGCCGCGCACGATGCCCGGTGAGTCGGTTAGGTCAGTGGCCATGAGATGCATCCGGCCAATCCGGCATACTTACCCCTGCATGGCTTCAGAGGGCAATGGTTCAAAGGGGCATTCCCTTTGATATTGAGCCCTGTGAATATGATTAATTAGTGGAATAACCATAGTTCCTGAGAGGACAAAAGAGGTCACTGCTATGTGGAGTGAAGACTGCAAGTCGGAGATAGCTACGCGTTAGATGGGTGGTTGTTATTTTGGGATTTGTGTGCCTGATGTCTTTCGAAAGAATACCAGGACAGACTTATCTGGATATCCCAGAAAACCAAGGGACAAGCAGGTAAAGTAACTGAGGTAAAAGCAATGCGATGCTGCAGAAAGTAGGAAGGCCGTGAAAGAGAAGACTGATATGTTGAGCCTATGATTACGCAGTAATAAATGCCAAAGAGTAGCATGTATGGATAGAAGGAAGAAAGCTCATATTCTGAGGTTGCCAAAACATGAAATAATAATTGCGGTATTCCTCCGGCAATGGGATTCGAGGGATGAATTGAATGAAGATGTTGATCTGGATGTGAATCCAGAAGCTCACCCTCATTTCTGCCCCTGACGTCTGGATGATTTGTCAGCAACATGAGAAAGACTCTCTGCCGTAGAATAGTCACGTGACTTTAAAGGGAACACCTTTGTGAGAAGATAAAAGAACGTCCTACCTTAACCAGCTGTTGCCTTCTGTTGCCAGCTGGGGTGATTCAGGCGTGGAAATCTCCTATACCAGGCAGAAAACAGAATATTGGATTCTACGGATAAGGGCCACTTGACGCACACTCACACTCACTTCCTTACCTGAGCCCCCGGGACGTAACGAGTTGTCGGTCGCATTCTCGAGGAGGCCAGGCTCAGACGACGGGAGACCAGCGACTATCCTATATATTCTAGCAAAAAAAAAACAAGAAAGCAAAGACAGACGATGGGCTCCCAGCTAGTGTCGACCGACGCCAAGAACAAATTGGAGGACCTCTCCGGGATCACCATTCCACCGGGCCAGAACCCGTACCAGGCCTTCATCACGGCATGCAGAGATGACCATGTAACGTCCACTCTTCGTCCTGTGATATCGCCCTATGGCAGGTGGCAGGTCCATCGTCAACGTCAACGTCTGACCGCTCTCTCCCACCACCACGTAGGCCGAGATCCGGGCGCTCTATTCCGCGCACAGGACCAACAGGAACGAGCAACAAAAAGCAAAGTTCCTGTCCCCCGACTTTAAGGAGCTGGCCATTGACCCCTTCCTGCTGAGGATCGAAAACCCGCAGATCGACCCCGGTTTCACAGACCCGAGACACTGCTTGGTGTTCTGGGCCAGACCACCAGATCACGTCATCCGACTTGCGACTCACCTGCAAACCCTGCTCAAGAACGTAGCTCCGAGTAAGTCGAAACTGAAGGGACCTCGTACGCCGTGGAAAAATCTTCGATTAGCCTGCTGTCAGACGATGGAGTGGATAGGGAACTGTCGTATAAGGGGGGTGGTGCTCGCTGCGCTTTCACAGCCTTAGCACTGACGCATGGGGGGGGTCCTCATCCAGACATCTGGCTCATGCCGCAGCACCGCATGCACATGACAACCCTGGAGGTAACCCACTCAAAGACCCCCGAAGAAATCGCTGCCCTGGTGGCCACCATGCGCTCCGCCATACCCTACATCACCAGCTTCACCTACTCCCATCGCCCCCGCCTGGTGAAGCCCATGATCTCCTACGACCTCTCCGCCTTCGCCGTCTCCTTCCTCCCGGCCGACGGCGGGGGCGACGCCTACACGTACCATCACCTCCGGCGGGACGTGTTCGACCTGGCCCGGTCGACGGGCGTGGCTATCGAGTCGCGCTACCAGGTCCCGAGCGCCCACATCACGCTCGGCCGGTTCCTGACGGACGAGGACCACCGGACGCCCGAGCAGCGGGAGGCGTGGGTTCGGGCCATCGACGACATCAACCGATGGTTGGAGGAGGAGGTCTGGGACGATGAGGGAAGGGGGCAGTTTTGCGGTGAGTGGGTTGTCGGTCAGGAAAAGGGGTTGGATGCCCGGTGTGGAGCGTTGTGGTACGGGGGTGGCAGGACCATCAATCTCGGGCAAGGGTTTTGATGTTAGTAGGACATTGTGCGCATTTTTAGACACAAGTTCTCTCTTGACGGAAGTGGTAGACGGTCTCGGTCTTCCCATCCGCGGATAGCCTAGAATAAACAGACATTTGACTCGCTTGCATCATTTTAACCGTCATGTCACCGTGATGCCTGCCCTTCAAATAGACTTGGGGAGAACGATGGTAAACGATCCCAGTTCGTCGCGGAAGAGCAAGGGCTTTTATTTCGTCCCTATGATGTGATGCATGATCCTCTCCTCAAGTGTTTGAGAGCGGGTAACCCATCCTTCGCCAAATAGTTCCAACCCGCATGATCCATATGCCCACGTGCCGAGACAGAAAGGAAGCATAAAAATCGGTACGACCATAACGACAAGACCAAAGGCCGATCAGAACACCAGAGCCGCGCCCTTCGTCTTCTTGTCACCACTGCAGGGAAGACAGTTAGCGGCCGTCACACGGAGTTGACGGAAATTCGGCCGTCGAGAAAAGAAAAAGAAAAAGAAAAAGAAAAGGAAAAAGAAAAAGAAAACAAAAACAAAAACATAAAAACATACCCGAGCTCGAAATGCTTGCATCGCTTCAGAGCCAGCTGCAGCTTGGTCTTGCACTTGACACATTCCAACCGGAGGACGACCTTCTTGGTGGTCTTGGCTTTCTTGTGGAACACGGGCTTTCTGTGGGAGAATCAGCACTGTTGCCTTGCCCTCCTTCTCTCTTCTCTTCTCGGAGCAACAAAAACAATGGGATGCAACGTACGTTTGACCACCATAACCGGACTGCTTGCGGTCGTAACGACGCTTACCCTGCGCGAACAGCGAGGCCTGGATGGTTTTTGTCCTATCTTAGCATTGTTTCCCAATTTCTTTTTCTCGAAACGCGGAGAGTCCTCGTTCCATGGCGGCGAATATCGGTCGGATCGGGTCGCGCCTTCGAGTTTCGCGAAGAGACAACTGGGATGATCGACGAACCTTGCCGGCCTTGTACTGGGTGACCTTGTGCTGGGTGTGCTTCTTGCACTCCTTGCCCTTGCAGTAGGTCATACGGGTTTTCGGAATGTTCACTAGAAAGAGCCATTCAGTCAGCCTGCTGTGTGTTTTGCGCGCTCGTGGGCTTCGGTCTATCGTCCTTCGTCGCTCGTCATGATCTGTCGTCGTCGGCTGCCCAAACGTGTCGTCCACCGAGCCCTCTCCCCCCCCGCCCTTCGATCCATCGCTCGGACTATCCCAGGGCCAACCCATTCACCAGGTAAAAGTCGCATTTGAAAATGATTCGTACGTACCCATCTTGGCGGCTGTTCGGTGTCGTGTGCCGGAATTGTCGTGATGGAACTCGTGGTGGTTGAGCGCGGGGAGTGACAGTTCAAAGAAGTTCAAAAATTGAAATCGCTTGTGTGGGCTGTAGGGTACGCTAGCCGGGTCGGGTGTGGCTTGAACCCCCCAGTCCAGCCTCAACCGAGTGACCCGCTTTTCTTTAGGTCGTTGACATGGATAATCACGTGATGATACCGGTTGTTCTACCACGCGTACAGGTTCCAAGGCTGACTAAGCCGCCGATTGACCGGGGCTCAATCTTCAAAAGAATCCCAGCTGACTGTTTCAAGATGAAACTCGGACCAACCAATCCCATCGTAGCGCTTCCGTGCTTTCTCGAGGTACGAAGAAGTGAAGGATGTTGCTGTATCCGATCGGATGAACGGCTTGTGGCGAACACTTGTACGGCAGTTGGCGTGGGTGAAACAGTTGAACAAGTGCTCTGGTACCTCTTCCGTGCGCTTACCTACTGCGTACTGCAAGTACCTGCACAGTGAACTCCCGTCGTCGTTCTCATTCCATTCCATTCCCAGCATCCCGCAACCTCCTCAACCTCCCTGTTTCGGACCGTCGACGTCGACGTCCGGAAATCAGAAACTAACCACTAATATACCTTATCGGTGATGAATCTTCCCCGTTCCCCTTGATCCCTCTACTCGCAACATTCCCCAGCTTGCCCGTTCTGTTTCCAAGCCATCCCGCTCATCTCAAATATTCGTACCTTACGTTGCGTAAGTCGGCCCTGATCGACACTTGAACCCCCTTTTTCGGACAATGAGGGATATTTTTATGGAGTGCTTCGTACGTGTTTGTCCCTCAGCCACGGAGGCCAAATCATCTCTTGGCTGGTAAAACCGCCGAGTCGACTAGGCGATTGAGAATCGTGACGAATCTGCATACTCCGTGCATTCTTCCTCTCCTCCTACATTTCTCTTCCTCAGGGAAACTTGAACCAGCCACCATTATGACTCCGATCGCCGCCGCTACAAAAACGTACGGGTGGGAATCTATGGACCAAGATGAGGATAGACATCTGCCAGGCACTCTGACGCTCTCTCTCGTTCACAATGAACCATCTCCACCGATCGTCCGTCAACACCCCTGTTTTTCAATTACTCTCGAGGCGCAATGGATGGAGGATGGTCCTTACACCCAAGGATCAAGGTACCATCGAGCTGGAGACATATTATCATTCGTGAAGCCATCTGTTTCGTTTGTTGCCCACAACTTCGTCTTGTTTCCTTTCACTTCAGACGCCATCGACCTCGGACGTGGCTATTTGGCGTCTTGTTCCCCTCACGTCTTCCCTCTTTACTCTTACTGCAATCCTGTGTTAGAGAGTTCACTCATATGGCGTAATTTTCCTCTTCCTTTCCTTCCAATCCCGAATGATCGCCTTAGCCTCTCTTTAACATCTCCTTTCTATGGACTACCCAAGTCTATGCGTCATCGACATCACTCCCCTATTATCTTCGGGATCCCCCTGACCTTGTTGGGTCGATTTTCTCTATACTCGCGCGGGCCGCATCAAACTCACCACACATCGGAGCTCAAAGAACAGACAAACCCCACAAAGAAGGGCGTGAGGTGTTTGTATCAGGCCTTCCAGTCCTCTGGAGGACGGACGGTTCCACAACCTACCCGGCCTCTCGCACCTAACCCCCGCCTCCGCGACGACGTGACTTCCATATCTTCCCCCCTGAGTTCCCGATCCTCTCGGGTCGGACGCGAACACATCAAACGGCATCATGTGCGAGAAGGACGAGCCCCCTGCACCCGTCTCTCTGCGCAAATCACGACTCTCGCCCCGCGCACTTCTCGGCAACTATCTCTACAGGAGAGTGGCCTTATGGGTGCTCCTCGTCTGCCTCATCTTGTCTGCCTTGTTGCTGAAGACGGACGTCCGTTCAAAGACGGCCAAAGTCGTCGGTTTTGGTGGGTTCCCGGGTACGGCACCGCCATCACCGCAACCACCTCCGCAAGGATCGTCTCCGGTGAGTCATGAGATCGAGATCGCTGTATTGCCAGGACAGCCGGATCCACAGGAGGAGGACAGTGAAATAGAAACGGAGACGGGACGGGGAAGGGAAAGAGAGAAGGAAACAGAAAAGGAAAAGGGAAAGGCAAGGGAAAGGGAAAGGGAAAGGGAAAGGGAAAGGGAAAGGAAAAAGACGAGGCAGCAGCATCAGAAGCAGCTCGACGCGCAGAGGCTAAAGAAACTTGAGCAGCAAGTGAAGGAAGAGAACAAGCCCCATTGGATCATCTATAAGCAGTAAGTCGCCCTGGGACCGGAGCCGCCGTCCTCATGAACATTTGTCCTGACCGACTTCTTACCTTGCCCCAGTCTCAATGGCTATTTCAGCGGCCTAAAGTCTCTGGTCTCCATCGAAGACCACGTCCCCGAGTGGCCCAGCCCGGACCACTACACGGGACCTGTCACTGTCGTTCCACAGTCCAACAATTCCATCCCGACTCCGGAACCTTACCGGCCGTACCCCGACTACCACTCCGAAGAGTATCTTGCCAAGCACCCGCCCGTAGTGGAATGCCATCTGGACGAGCACGGCACGCCGGTCCCGGACATCCATGCTTTCCCCGGCGTGCCACAACCTCATCCCGATCCGGCGTTGGGCGACCACAAGATCCTCGGCATCCGAAACGACGTCTGCTTCGATCGCTTCGGCCGCTACGGGCCCTACGGCCTCGGCTACGGCACCGAGGAGGGCGGCACGGGACAGGGCATGGACACAGAGCACACCGGTGCCGAGGCGGTCTGGGCCGACACCGGCAAGATCGACTACCGCAGGGTCGACTGGGGCGGGGCGCAAGAGCGTTGCGTCGCGCGCAATGCGCAGCGTTTTGTCGACACGACGGATACCGACGGCGGTAACGGAAAGGAAGACCAGAACGGCATCCGGAAGATCGAGCAGCGCCAGGCCGTCATCGTGCGTACCTATGTCGGTTACCGCTGGACGCCGCACGCCATCCTCAACCTCCGCGCCATCATCTCGGAGCTCTCGCTCAAGACGGGCGGCGAGTACTCGGTGCATTTCCTGCTCCACGTGAAAGACCGGAACGCGCCCATCTGGGCCGACCGGTCGGTCGTCCAGCGCATCCTGGACGAGAACGTGCCGCAGGAGTTCCACTCCCTCTGCACCGTCTGGTCCGAAGACCAGATGCGGCTCTACTACCCGGGCGACTTTGGCGAAACGTTCCGCACGCCCTCGAGCCAACCCGTCCACGGGGTGTACCGCTCGGCACACATGCCCATGCAGGTGTTCGCCCTGCAGCACCCGGAGTACGCGCACATTTGGAACTGGGAGCTCGACATGCGCTACACCGGTTCGTTCTACGAGCTCTTTGATCGTATCCGGTCCTGGGCCCGCGACCAGCCGCGCCGGCTCCTCTGGGAACGCTCGGCGAAATACTACATCCCCGCCCTGCACGGCTCCTGGGAACAGTTTTCCGACCTGGTGGCCAACGAGACGGAGGCGTCGGGTCGGCCACCGATCATGGGACCCGTCGACTTCCCCGGCCGCAAGCCCCTGTTTTCCGAAACGCCGGCCCACCGCAAGTCCGTCGTGCCCCCCTCATGCGACGACGACCAGCCGCCAGAGACATGCGGCGTGGGCGAGGAGGCGGACATCATCACGTTCAACCCGCTCTTCGACGCGGAAAGCTCGGGCTGGGTCTTCTCGGAGGACGTGACCGGCTACGACACGCACCTGCGGATCCCGCCGCGGCGCTGCGCCATCATCACGGCCTCGCGCCTCTCCCGCCGCCTCCTCCTCGCCATGCACGAGGAGACGTGGCGCCACCACCACTCCATGTTCACCGAGATGTTCCCGGCCACCATGGCCCTGCACCACGGCCTCAAGGGCGTGTACGCGCCGCACCCGGTGTTCCTCGACCGCGGCTGGGACCTCGGGGCGATCGAGCGCTCCTTCAACGGCGGGCGCGACGGGTCCTCGGGCGGGCCGGGCAGCCCGTTCGATATCCGCAATGAGCACAACCACAAGGGCGCCACCTGGTACTTTAATGCCGAGTTCTCGGGGCTCCTGTGGCGCCGGTGGCTTGGGTACGCGCAGATGGACGGCCGGGGAGATGACGGCGGTCGGGCGGGCGAAGGGGAGCTGCGCGGCGGGCAGAGGGAGGAGGAGTCTGAGTTGAGCTCCGGGCGTATGTGTCTCCGGAGCATGTTGTTGCACCCCATCAAGTATGACAACCCGGCCGATAAGGCGTGAAGCGGGAGGATCCGTGCTACTACGCACGCGACATGATGGACATGATGTTCGAGTTTAAATATTCAAATGTGTATATACCTGATTTCAAAATGGGAATGGCTTTTTCTGGAGAGAAGGAAGCAGACGGAGAATTGTGGGTGTCGTTAGGAAGCACCCTCAGATACAGATTGGCGACGAGGGACTTGAAGAACCGACAACTAAAAAAAAGATTTCCGGGATTGCTCGTGCATATCGTCGTTCGTGAAATGCCTTGTGTCCTGTACTGTACTGTAGGGGCAGAGGGTTAGTTGGTCTCCAAGTCTCCTACAGTGGTTGCGAGTAGAAGTATGAGTGAATAGAACAGTAGGAGTTGTTGTCCAAGAGGATAGGATGTAGGAGATGAGTCATGTGACCATTCTGTGATAAGAGTTCGTTCACGATGACGAATCAGATATGCGTAACGGAGTACCTTCCGAATACATTCTGCGTACATATACGCACGAAGTACCTATTGACGTTTCGAGGTGACTCGACTCATTGATCGGACCTGCCTACAGTACCTGAGTACCTACAGTGGGTGTACGATACGCGCCTTACCTCAGCTATTCCTCTGGCACCACCCTCCCCAAACCCTCCCCCGACCCTCCCCCGTCATCTGTTCATCAACATCTCCCCCGCCTCGAAGTCGTTCTATGGGGTCGGCCTATCTCGGGCCCCTCCACCTGCTTTTTCGGTTTTTCTTTTTTTGTTCCGTATTATATTGTTTCCATCGATAACCCTTTAGCGAAATTGTCTTCCATGCACTGAAGCTCAAGCTCAGTCGGGGGAGCATCAACGCCTGTGTTGTGTCCCGTCAATTCTCTTCCTCGAATCCAGCTTGCAGTTTTGCCACCGAGGTCGTCTCATCAACCGGGATACAAGGGGAGAAAAACTCGATTAAACGAAGCTACATTCAGAGCGAGACGACTACGTTACGTCTTACAAACTCCACGACGAGAAAAGTTCTACATCGTCCCGCCGTGCCTCTTCTGGCTTTCAAAGGTCGGCGGAACACAATTATAGCCCCATCCCATCGTCAGTCGAGAACAGAACCACTGGACGATGAGCTCTACTCCGGCCTCTCTGGGCAAGTCGCTTCCAGTTTCTACTTCGCATCCGCCCGCTGCGCAGCAAGGTCACGCCACCTCGAGCTTTGAAACCTCCCGCCGACCGAGCCAAACAGGCCCATCCCTCCCCCACGCCGTCCCCAGAAAGGGCCAGACGACCAGGAAACAACACAAGAATCAGCGACGTCCCGGACTGGGTGGTCATCGACAGAACCCGGACGACGATGACGCCATGGCCGAGATCAGGGCCCTTCGAAACGCGTCAAGCCGTCGCGGCCAGACCTCCATCACCCACCTTCTCGACTACAGCCTGCCCCCGCGTCATTACTACCAGGACCACCACAACCATCACCATTCCCATCCGCGGAGCTATCGGCGCAACCCCACCTGGGGTCCTGGATCGGGCCACCACCCTGCCGACAAGGCGAGGTACGTGCATGCCAACTACCGCTTCGTCGTATCCCCCGACGGCGACTACTCCACGCAAGCCGTCAACGCCGACGAACATCTGCAGTGGGGCGACATTTTGCAAATCCTCGCGTCGGCCGAGTCGCAGGCCACGAGCTGCCCCATCTGTCTGTCCGAACCGGTCGCCCCGCGCATGGCCAAGTGCGGACACATCTTCTGCCTCTCGTGCCTCATCCGCTTCATGAACGCCTCCGGCAGCGACGACGATAAGAACAAGCCGCCGACCATTCGAGGCGCGCGGTGGAAGAAGTGTCCGATTTGCGAGGACAGTGTTTTCCTGCACGACACACGGCCCGTCCGTTTCTACGCCGGCCAGGAGAGCCCGCTGCCGAGAGTGGGAGACGACGTCGTCCTCCGCCTGATGGCGAGGACGGCCAAGTCGACCCTGGCGCTGCCCTGGGAGGGCGGCTCCGACGTGCTCGGCGTGGAGGACGAGGTACCGTGGCATTTCGCGGCCAATGTCATGGACTACGCCAGAATCATCAAGGGAACGGCGCACTACATGCTCGAGCAGTATGACGAGGAGGTCGAAGCGCTCCGGAGGCAAGAAGCAGAGGACCACCTGCTGTACCATGAAGACGACGAGTGGACGCAGAAAGCCATCCGGGCCGTCACCGCTGCCAAGGAAAAAATACAGGACCTCGGCCAAGGGGGTTCCAACGGGGCGTCGGCGTCAGGTGCGTCAAACGGAACGGGGAAAGGAACAACTGGTTCGGGGTCAAGGTCAGGCCCACGGTCGGGTTCGGGTTCGGGCTCGGGTCCGGGTCAGGGCAAGGCAGTGCAGCCCGAGTTCTACTTCTTCTCGTCCCAGCCCCACCTGTACCTCTCCGCCCTGGACATCCGCATCCTAAAGGCCAAGTACGGGGACTACTCGGCCTTCCCCTCGACGCTGCTCCCGCGCGTTGAGCACATCTCGACTGGCCACGTGCTCGACGATGTCCAGCGCAAGCGGGCGAAATACCTAGGCCACCTGCCCCGCGGGTGCGTCATCAGCTTCCTGGAATGTGACTGGACGGACATCGTGCCGGCCGAGATACTGGACAAGTTCGCGCCGGACATCGAGAGGCGGCGGAAGCGGAACCGCGACAAGGCCGCCCAGGAGGACCGCGAGAGGCAACAGGCCGAGAGGCTCGAGGCGGCGGCGTTATTGCGCAGCGCAACGGGTTCGCGCCGGCAATTCGACGAGCCGATCGAGGAGGACCGCGTCCCGGACCTGAACTCGGACGACTTTTTGCCGCTCAGCTCCTCGAACCATGCCGGAACTACGCCGCCCGAGTCGCGGCCCGGGTTCGGCCCACTTGCTTCCCTCTCGACCAGCCCTTCGGCGCAGAGAACGGTATGGGGCACCCGTGCGATTCCAACATCACCGAATCTCGCGCCGGCCCTCGCGCCGGACCTTGCGCCACCAGTACGTCGTGGGCCCGTGGATGACGGCTGGCTTCGGGAAGACGAGTTTCTCGATGCCGCCGAGCTCTCTTTCCAAATGGAGGCGATGGGTATCGAAGGTAGTAGCTCCAGCGGTGGTAGTGGTGCTCCGAGAGGCGGCGGTAGCGCTGGCGCGGGTAGTGGGAAGGGGAAGAAGAAGAAGCAGAAGATTACGTTGATGAGCACCGGCGGGCGGAGAGGAAACTAGAACATTATCACATTTTAGAAATTGGCGGGGGAGTTCGGGGGAAGAGGGTATCTTGCGGAAGGCTGATAGCTTTATCCTTCTTTTATTTCATCTTTTACTTCCCTTTCTTTTTCTCGAAGGCTTAGGGCATGACCACAGCGTCAAAACGGGCATTGTGTCTTGAGAAGTTGAGTCTCGAGGAGGTTATGGTTTCCGGGTTGCCAGCCTATCCAGACGATCTCACATAAGGTAGGAACAATTCAATAGTACGAGAGGAACGAAAAAAAAAAAAAAAATAAACAAGCCAAAAATAAAAATAAAAAAAAAAAAAGGGAGGAAAAGGCAAAACAGCAAGGGGCAGCCATAGACTGACTGGGTATGGGTTGTATGAAATAAGGTACTGAAATAGCTGGGAGTGGCCGCATTTCCCAACGATAACGCATCTCCCCCAGACAACAACACTTATCTCCTCCCCTCCCCTCTGCCCCTCATCTCCACTGCCATCCCGTCCTCACCTCACCTCACCTTTACCCTTTTACCGCCTTGTCTTATTTCAGACCTTCAGACCTACCAGTACCACAAAAGAGTTTCGTCCACAGCACCAACGTATATCCCGGTGAACTTGCTGCTTCATTCGCTTTTGAAGGCGCTTAACACTTCCTCGAGCGCCCATCATGTCAAGTAATACGACGAGCAACCCGCCCCCAGACCTCATCATCTCCCCTCCCCTCCTTAACTCATCCAACCCCTGGGCCACAACCCTCGAGGATCTCACGAAACTCTACTCCTGTCCGCACACCGGCGCCGTAACCACCCGCACGAGCCTCCTAAACGGCTTCCCCCATGACGACGCGAAGCACCAATACGCCTTCTTCTCTCCCATCACCTCCCTCCCCAGCCATGAAAACCGACCGGGCCTCTCCTCCCTGAACAGTCTTGGCTACTCCCCATTACCCTTGGCGACCTACCTCTCCTTCATCCAATCCATCCACGACGCCCTGCCCGCACCGCCACTGAGTTCTTCGACCCCCGCCGACTCCGAACCCGAACCCGAACCATCAACGTCCGACCCGGACCATGCAGCACCAGCAAGGGGGGGGAAACCCGTCATCGTCTCCGTGACAGGATCCCCAGCCCAAGTAGCAGAATGCTACGCCCTCCTCGCCGCCCACCAACCCCGCGTCCCCCGCATCCCGCTCGCAATGGAACTCAACCTCTCCTGCCCCAACATCCCCTCCGCCCCTCCCCCAGCCTACGACCCGACCTCCCTCGCAGCCTACCTCTCCCGCCTCCCCGAGGACCCCATCCTCCCCATCGGCCTCAAAACCCCCCCCTACACACACGCCCCGCAGTTCGAGGCCCTCATCTCCGCCCTCCGCGCCGATGCCCATGTCCATGCCGATAATAGCACCGGTCAGTCCGGACCCGGCAGGAGGACTAGGATCAGCTTCCTCACCGCCACGAACACGCTCGGCTCATGTCTCGTCTTCCACGCTGCCGATTCCGCACAGCCACAGCCACAGCCACAGCCACCACCGGAGAAGGTGGACGGGGCGGGGAAGGAGGCCCTCCCTGCGTGCTGCGACGGCATCGGCGGTATGGCAGGTCCTTCTCTCCATCCCTTGGCTCTTGGGAACGTGAGGGTGCTGAGCAAGATGTTGGCTTCGTCCCCCGAGCTGCGGCATGTCAAGATTATCGGTATTGGCGGGGTGGCGGACGCGGACGGGTATAGGAGGATGAGGCGGGTCGGGGCGTTTGCGGTCGGTGTTGGGACTGCGCTTGGGTTGGAGGGGCTGGATGTGTTTGGCAAGATCTTGGATGGTCTAGAGGAAAGGGGAGATGTGATGGTGTAAGTGTGGGCCAGAGAGTAGATTCTGCGGTAGGAAACTAAGCCGACTATATGAACTATAAAATGCTCTCTCTCTCTTTCGTTCTTTTTTTCTTTCTTTTTCTTTTTCCCTCTACTTAATGGTACTTCTAGCATCATCCATCCTCCCCGGCAACTGACAAACTACGGAATCTATTTCCCCGGCCCGTCACGTAATGCAGCTCCTCGTCCGTGTCCTCACCCCCCTCATCCCCTGGAGTCCGCCCTGGCAGGAGGTCCTCAATGGCCCATGCGATACGTTCCGCCCCTACCCTCGCCCCCCCAAGGTTCCCCGCCGCCGGCCCGAGCTGCAACCCAGCGAAGCGGCCCGTCACGAAGAAGGGCAAGTCCTTATCCCACATCAGGTCCTCGGTAATGCAAGGGAGACCTCCGTGGCCGTCGATGGGATGGCGGGCCAGCAGAGTCTTCAGATAAGGCAGAGTGAAGAAGTCGGACTGGATCCCCGTTGCAAAGTAGACAAAGTCGAACGCCGGCATCTCCGGGATGGGAGGTTCGGTCTGGACGTGCCAGACCCCTTTTTCGGTGTCGAACGACGCACTGGAGACGCAAGTGTGCTCGCGGAGCTCCAAGCGGCCCGTTTCCACGTGCTTCTTCAACTTTTTGTGATACATAGGCGTCATGCTGCCGCCGTTCCGAGCCCTCAGGATATGCTGGAGGCGTTCGGCGTCCGAGTCGGCGCCCCAGAAGTAGGCCTGCTCGACGTTGCGGAATTTACCCATCCACGAGAGATCGACATCAAAGAGCTTGACCTTGCAAGGCCCCCTCATCAGGTGCCACACCTTGGTGACGCCGCGCCGAATGGCCAAGTCCGAGAGCTGGGCCGAGGTGAGCCCGCCGCCGATCATGAGGATGTTGGTCGTCTTGCGGGCGACGATCCGGTCTTGGACCACGGAACCCGGAAACTCGCGGATTTGCATGCTGTGGCATACCTGAGGCGGAACAAGCCCTTGACCATCGACGAGTCCAGGGATGCATGGGATGCGAGGCTTGTTTCCAGGTCCGGCGGCGAGGACTACGACGCGGGCGTAATGAGTATGACCCTTGTCTGTCCGCACAACGAACAGCTCGTCATCTGATGGAACTTCCTCAACCACGCGGTAGTCGATATCTTGCACCGCCTCGTGCCGGACAATATCGTCACCACATAAATGGTATCGGTCAGCGATGCTCTTGCAGTGGTCTAAGAACAGGGACGTTGGCGGAGTGAAATAGTCCTTTCGGTCCCGTTCGTCGATGTCGACGATCGCGTGATGTCTTTTGCGAGGGTCAGCGTCGTGCATATTCGACTTTTCCCTTCAGGGAGAGGAACAAAAAAAAAAGGAAAGAAAGAAAGAAAGAAAGAAACATACCGTGGATTACGGCCTTTGGCGCGGGCTCTCCTGAGATGCTTGCTGACTTCCTTCCCGACGCAATTCTTGAGCTCGAAAAGCTCACCTTCCACCCCCTCGTTGTGGGCCATGGCCAGCAGAGCGTCTCTGTCACTGGGGTCGACATGCCAGAACATGGGACTTCGAAGGTGTTGAATGTCAAAGGCGGTAAAGAGGGTCTTCCAGCGGTTCATCCACTGATTGCCGGTAGCGTCAAGGACGAGGGTCGAGTACCGTCGTGCCTCGCACGGGTTACGTTTCTCCAAGATACGACCATTCTTCCTATTCTTCAGAGTCATGCGGCGGCCATATTTCTTGATCCAGTGGTATCGTTGATGCTCGTCGTCTGTGAAGAGAGCCGAAGGGGAGGGCTCGCAGAGGCGGGAGGCCACGGCCAGGCCACACGGCCCGGATCCGATAATGATCACATCATGGACAACTGTTTCGTTGAACTCGCTCATTGTGGAGGGGGGATTTGGATGGAGAAAAAACAGAAAGACGATGGGCTATAGTGGCATGGAAGAATAGCATTGACAGATAGGGGAAGACGGTATGGGCAGGCGGAGGGGGGAGCGGAGGGGGGGGCATGAGCTAGATATAGGACATATATGACATGGCATAGAGGACTTTACGGCCTGAATAACACAGTACCTTTCTTGCCCCTGCATGTAGGAGTACCTCATCCGGGGAAAGAGCATCTGAGCCTGGTAGAGCTGTACGGAGTACACTCCTGTAGGTCTTTTAGGGGGTGACCTTGATGGCCGAGAAGTTCGTCCAGTGAATGGCTGAAACAGCCGGGCCAGGCTCATACGCATGTACCTCACTTGCTGTACTAATCAGCAAGTAAGAATTTGAAATAAGGTAGCCATGACATCTGTTCGTTTTACGGTGTCTTGTACGGTAATGAGTAAGGTAAGGTACCTTACCTTATGGTTGGGGTGGACATGTACAAAGTAGGTAGGCGGAGGGAGTTGAAGGTACGGAATAGGATGTGCCTCAGTACCTTAGTAGGTGCGTGCTATTGTCGGTGGGAGAACCTTGATGGCTTTGATGGCGTTTCTGTGACCAATCACAACATCAACTGATCAAGAAATGGGACAGAGCCGTAGGCAATCACGAATGGATGTCCAAGTACAGCCTAACCGGGAGACGTCCACCGTGGCTTGCGGCTTGCGGGTGAGGACGAGGTTGACGAAAGGCAAGGCACCGGGTAAAGATGTACCTGCGACGGTGACTTTGGCTCATCGCGCGGACAACAGAGAGAAAGGTAGATGCGGGCAAGGTGAAAGGCGTTCTTCAAGACTCGCCATGGGTATGAATGCCAAAGATGAAAACGACCATGAATATACTATATATTGTCACTTGACAGAATCAGCATCAGGTCCGTCTCTTCAGGGGCTGGGCATACATAGTCTGGTCTGGAAAGGATGCGTGCTCGCATTTCGTTTCTGGCCACGATGGCCGACTCCGCCGTAGTACAGAAGTCGTGTCTAGTACCATTCCCATCAGATTCATATTGAGTGCCTCTGCAGTGTATTATTATCGCCCTACGGATAATTATTTGGTTGACTGACGATGACCGGATTTGCCGTCAGAGAGGATTGCTTTCCACAACGAGGACGTCACGTACGAAATACAAAGTACATGCCGATCGACCTACAGGTAGTGATACATTCTTGGTAACAAATACCAATACACAAGACAGACAAAGTTGTTATCAAAAAAGAACTTCAGTCGCATATAAGTGGGGTACGAGACACGAAGCTACCTTACCTTACGCTACCACAACACGAGCCCAGGAGGTGAAATGACGCCACTTTTAAGTGACCCCCACAGGCTGCATTCGTTCAACTTCCACGTTCGAGTCTCTCGGGCAATTTAGGGCCAATTTGGGGGCCGCTCTCCTTTATCCCGAACTCGCGTGTCCTCAAGACAGACGGAAAAGACGAGGGGAAAAAAGGAAGAAAAAAAAAGGTTACGACATCACCACATCCCCTTTCCTCCACAAATCTCCTTTCTTCCAATCCCCATTTTGTCCGTACTTGTAACAGGTAAAGTGACGTAGCTTATCCAGCCAGTAAGCTGCTTATCCTCCCATTCCAAGAACGAAGTAACGGTTCTGTCGCGTCGTCGGTTCTGACCACCTTGGTGTCAGTAGGTACAGAAAGCGACTCAACAGATTAGCCCGTGGCCAGCTTCCTTCTTGACTCTCCTCCGCCACCGCCTTCTGTCTCTCAACTCAACGCCAGAAACCTGACACACGACGCAAACACAAAAAAGGGCGACACTTGACGCAATTCGTCACACCTATTCTCTCTCTACCTGTGCTCTCTTTACTTATTGCGACAGCCTAATTTTTTCCTTTTTTTCTTTTTTGTCACCTTCATTCGCCCTCGCTACAATCAACCTCCTTCCCTTCACACCAAGACAGAATACTCTCCGGAACGCCATTATCCTATCTCGACTGTCCATCTAATCCTTGCCGAACCTTCTTTTTTTTGTCTCCCTTTTTCTTGTCCTGACCGTTCCTTCGGACCTTCGGATTCGGTGCAAACAGCCATAATTACCAGAACCAGTCTACAAGGGGGGAAAAAAGCCATGTCGTCTCCATCAGAATCATCTTCTGCCGGCAAGCGAAAGCGCTCCATTGCCGTCGTTCCTGGCTCCACCGAAATGGTAGACGCGAATCTGCAAGCCTCTTCCCGTGATACCTCCGGCAAAGAGGGCGACAGCACTGCTCCCGAGTCGGCCAAGTCCGCCCATCCGCCTAAGAGGCAGCGGGCCAACTCGGAACGCACTCTGAACGTGGATGCCGTCGACCATGCCAAGGATCCCGGCGAGCCCAGCGACACCACCGAGGCCAGCGCCGACATTGCCGAACGCGTCAGCAGGAAGAACCGCAAGGCGACCGCCCCTACCGTCGCCTCGCCCAACGAGGAGACCGAGGAGACCGATGACAAGATGCCGCCCCCCCCTTTCGGCAAGCTCATCCATCCCGCGGGCTACAGGACCAATGACCCCCCTGTGGGCCGGCCCGTCCGCGTCTACGCTGATGGCGTATTCGACCTGTTCCACCTCGGGTACGTCTTGATTGCGCGTCTTTGTTTCTATCTTTATTGTTCCTTTTTTTTGCTTCTTTTTTTATTATGATTTCTCTATCCCCCTCCCTGTCCTGGTAGCTTCCACTCATGCTAATCCCCCCCTTTTTTCAGCCACATGCGGCAACTCGAACAGGCCAAGAAAACCTTCCCCAACACGTACCTGCTGGTCGGCGTAACTGGCGATTCGGAAACACACAAACGCAAGGGTCTCACAGTCCTTAGTGGTTCCGAACGCGCCGAGACGCTCCGGCATTGCAAGTGGGTAGACGAGGTCATCCCCGACTGCCCGTGGATCGTCACTCCCGAGTTTCTCGAGGAGCATCAGATCGACTACGTCGCCCACGACGACCTTCCCTACGGCGCCGACGAGGGCGACGATATCTACCGCCCTATCAAGGAGCAAGGGAAATTTCTCGTCACTCAGAGGACCGAGGGTGTCAGCACTACCGGCATCATCACCAAGTTAGTATACCACAAGTCACTTACGGGCGAAGAACCAGAGTGGAAACCAAAAAAAAAAAAAAAAAAAAAAAAAGGCAAGAAGAGTGAGAACAAGAAGCTTACCAATATCCCGTGTCACAGGATCGTTCGTGATTACGAAAAGTACATTGCTCGCCAGTTCAAGCGCGGCGCTTCCCGCCAAGAGCTCAACGTCAGCTGGCTCAAGAAGAACGAGATGGACCTCAAGCGCCACGTCCAAGACATGCGCGATAACATCCGTACGAACTGGGCCACCACCGGTCAGGAGCTCAGCCGCGAGCTACGCCAGTTCTGGCCCTCCTCACGCCCGCAGAGCCCGGCGCCCAGCTCCCGAACCTCATTCTTCCCCAACGGTAACGCCTCTGCCGCAGTCGTCTCCTCTTCCAACGGCGACGGCACCCTGACACCGACATCGGCTGCCAAATCCCGTTTCAGCCTGGATATACCGCCCACGACGCCGGGCGGTTCCGTCTCCCCGGGCAACGGCCCCAATGACTTCATCACTGGCTACGCTCTCGGTCTCGTCGGTGGCGTCCGCTCCTGGGTATGGTTCCTCTCTGCTTCCTATGTTCTGCCCTCCCTGCAGCACTCTTTCCCCCCCGGTAAAAAGCTTTTGTTGTTAACCACCCTTTTCTCGCAGATGACAAGGAGCCGGCGGTATGACAGCGATAGCCCCAGCCGGCGCGCCAGCGAGGACGACTCGGAAGAAAGCGACAGCAAGAGCACGCGTGGCCGCCTCACGAGCTCGAAACTGAAGTCCGCCCAGACGCCTAGCGTTTCAACAACACTGTCATGATACGAACAATCCCGATACGGAAAGAAGTTCCAGCTAGTAGTGGTCGTAGTAGTAATAATGGCAGTACAACATGGAAAATTGGCAAGGTAATAAAGTTAAGGAACAAAAGGTGGGAATACAAGGGGCATACCTAATGTACCTTAGCTCGTGTGAAGGTACGGGCTCTGTCCGTCCAAAGCGCGTATAATCATGTATAGGTTTTTATTTTCTTATTTTGGGGGGCGGGGCCCGGGGTTGGAGGGGGAGGGAAAAGGAGAATGGGAAGATATAAGGTCGTTCGTTCGGGGGTCTCCGCTGGTTGTTGTAATATCATTATATTTTGGAAGCTCTATTGCCCGAACTTAATGAGGGAGATATCACGCTGGCTGTTTGTTTCACGGTCCGGGCGCCCCAATCCTTCCCTATAGGTAACTGTGTTTAGCTTGTCCATTCAATCTCGTGTTCTTTCGTTCTGTTTGGTTTCTCTCTCACCGGTTCACATCATGCCGCCGATTCTGCAATTTGGAATTTAGAATTTCCGCTTTGATCCTGGCGTACGACGACCTTTCATGCTATACATCTACCCCTGCTGCCAGCCAGCAAGGTATAACTATCTATGTGCCGCTTGAGGAAAGCGAAGTTGTTACCGATGTTTGGCACTGTACTAGGCGATTCTATCCCAGTGCTTCATTAATGGTAAGATGATTTCAGCAGCGGAGATGAACTTCAACTGACTTAGACTACCAGTTCACAACAAGACAGGATCGAGTGATTATCGCAGGGACACATATTAGACCCTCAGCGCCTCCCTGCTTATATACCTTACTAGACGCGCAGTCATCTGGTTTCTTCTTCGATTCCAGTCCGTCTGGAATCACCACTCTGGCCTTTGAAAACCCCGTTCCGAAGGAAACCACTCGTCAACCACTTTTTCCTGAATTGATATCTCCATACCCTTCGTCTCTCGTGCTCGAAGATTACTTCTACACTTCTGCTAAACTTCTGCTAAACTTGAGGACACCATTAGTGTACGTCCATGTCGGGCAAACCTCAACGGGAAGCAAGTGATTACCGGTCTTCTCCTACGTCATAGCACAGGGCGACGGTCCTCGGTAGGACAAGTTCGCCTCAACAGCCTTGGTCGGGCTCAAGAGGTAGGCGACGCGCTTAGCATGCGGTTGTATTTCGCGCTGTCGGAGGACTCCTGTCCATATGTCGAGCGCGTGGAGTTGGTACAGTCCGAGCATGAGCATGGGCCTCCCGATTACATGGCTGTGTTGTGGCGTGGGGTTCTTGAGTGGTGGGTTTCGCACAGACAGTGTAGATTGCACTATGGAGAACAACCTAGTCCCGAGACACGGAGATCAAGGCCCTGAGGCTCAGACCAGCATCTCCGAGCCCGTATCCAGTTTGCGGCGTTTTCATTCGACGCCTGTGTTCATTTGTTGGCTTTTCCAGCCAACCATGGGTTCTTACATAAGCTGTGTGCAGAAAGAAGACGAGAGAAGCCGCAGCGGCGCTAAGCGGCTAGTATAATCGATAAGGGCGTAACCCGCTGGCCGTGCCAGGCCGACAATAAACGGCAGGTCTGTCCTTTCCCCTTCGACTTTAGTTACGAGTACTGAGTAGTTGTAGGTACGAACATAAAAAAAGGGCAGCCCCCAACACCCACGCCGCCGTCGGCCCCCGCGTGTAGGCGGATGTTGGGACTTCGGGCCCTTCCGAGAGTGCCGATGGGAGGGGATCCAAACGTCGCAAGACACAAATTACTTCTTTCTGTGAAGAGGAGGGGAGCAGTCTTGGATTTGGAGAGGCAAAACCCACGCAAAAGAAAGCCATCTCTCTCCTTCTTTTTCAAAGATGGTTACGGAAATGGCGACGGGAATCGCCGACTTTTTGAACGACTCAACATCGGCATAACAAGACCACAGAGGCAAACGTTTGAAAGGTGTTCCCCCTTTACCAAAATTAAGGTCGATATGTATGTCAGCCGATCACTGGGTGCATCTGGTTGGCTGGTTGGTCGGTTGGATCAAAGATTTCGGGCTCTTGGGTGAGAAAAGCTGACAGCCCCAGGCTACTCGCCACATGCTCGGTTCGAGAAGAGGGGAGCCCTTTGACTCCTGCTGGCATTCCTGCGGGCGGGATGCGGCAATATGGGATGAAATAAAGAAGGGGGTTCAGTGTCAGAGTGAGCGGCATTCGTTTCGTGTTTCATGATACTTCGAAAGGGCCCCCCGGCATTGAAGTTCAACTCTTCACCCTTGCACGCGGGGTTTATGAGGCGGCAATGATCAGATCAGATGACGTGAGAACGACGATACGAGTGATGAAGGGGCTCTAGGAGGGCCACGGGTCCAGACTCCAGTATCAGACCGTGCCAGTCACCCAATCCAACCCAAGCCGGCACCCCTTCTTTCGTCCTGATAGTGACACGGAAGATATTCGCGTTATACGGGACCTGTTTTAGTCCCGATCTTGGGGGTTGGGCGTTGGCATCCGGAGATCCGGAGGGGATCAGCCCGGACAGGGTCCTCTCGAGACGTCGGAGCAGAAGGCTCTGTTGGTGATGTGCAGCAAGGATAAAGAGAAGATGTACACGTCTACTCCACTGCGGAACGGGTGATACAGATTACAGTCTGTGCTTACTATAGGAGCGGGACTTGTTTGCGCAGCACGAGAACCCGGCCGGGCCTGCCATGGGGATGTTCCCGGACAGTTCGGGGCGACAGGCGACGGGATTGATGCCATGAGCATTACGAGAGGTAGGTAGGTAGCCCATGCTTGTGAGGGAAAGCATGATAGCAGAACTGTCTTAACCACATCATATCAGAAACGCCTTGTCGTTTCTACATGTCCTTCTGTGCCGGATGCTCTGGTGCATGGGAGTCAACCTGCCACTACAGGGCGACTGGAAGCGCAAGGCAGACTCTGAGCCTGTACGTTATCCTTTTTTTACACGTGTTGGGCTGAACTCAGTCTCGTCAACCTTCTCCACCTACTGGAGACGGTGTTGGTTGAGGCGGCATTCGAAATGCGGAGTTCCGTGTTGGGGTTCGTCTTCGAGGCTTGATAAGAACGTTTCTCCTCTTTTATCCTCTCTGAAACAACCGAGATGATTGCTGAACCCTTGACGTCTTGCAGAAGAGGAAGAGGGGAAAGAACGGGGGAAACGAAACGATCCAGCGACTCGGGTCATCAGTCTCCAATGGGGGCGGCTGTTTCATCTCCACGTCAAGCCATAGCCAGCCGGCTCGGTCCGTTCAGAAAGAAGATCGAAGAAGGCCTGCAGATATATGGCCCGAACGCCGTGGGGGCTCCAAACTATATTTTGTCATTCTCGCCAGTATTTACCCCGTTCTTCTCGCAAGATGAGATCAACTTGGAGCTCGCCATGAGCCAAGTGAAACGTTTGGCCGCCAACGATAGCTAGGCTCAAAAGACGGCATGTCTCGTTGGATCGGAGAACAGTACGATGGCATCACCATGGGACCTGGGCGGGCGAGTTCACGGTTGGTCCAGCTATCACAGGCATACAAATGACCAACGCGGATGAAAACAGATTCGTTGTCACGGGCTCGATAAAAATGTCGAAGTATGCTATCTTGAGAGAGTCCCAAATAGGGAACTACAGGGGGGTAGAGGAGCTGTCGGAAACGTCGACCCTCGTGTCGGCTTTTTTTCTTCTTCTCTCGTTTTCTAATTGCCGGATTAGAGAAAGAAAAAAAAAACCGATGCTCAGTTGGGTGGTAATGAGACTATGTTAAGCGCGGTAGCGATGGACAGCTTTCGTGGAGAGATTGCCGCGCCTAGCGACAAGAATGGATGCTAAGACACTCCGCGGTACATCACGACCACCATCTGATGTTCTGCAGTTCTCATCGGCAGTTAAAGAGGCAGAAAGGTGAAAGAGACGATTTTCTGCAGCCTGCGTCTTGCATCCCGCGTATACGAGAGAAGAAAGAGATTTTACCGCCCGCCGAGATTTTGTTGGGGGCTGAGTACGCGGCTCTATCCTCTATCCATGAGGCGATCCAGGAGGAAGGGGGTGTCGATATCGGGAAACAGGACCAACAAAGGGAGGGGGTCCATAAGAACACGTAGATCTCTTTTCCCTTTTGAATGGGATCTCCAACGGACTCGTAGAGTTCTCGATCTCAATGGCATCCGTTATGAAAATGGTAAAATACTGCAAAGCACCACATTTAACTGTCCCAGACCGTTTTGGAATTTTCCTCCGAGACGTCTCGAGTGTGGGAGATTTTTGCACACCCAAACCGTGGAGTGCATAGGTCTAGACACCAACTCGCTCTGTACCTTAGTTCTCAAGACCAAAAATGGGCAGAATGCAACCAAAGGAGAACTAACATATGGGACGCTCTGTACAAGAGAGGTTGGCCAAGCTACGCCAAAGTGTATGAGACAAGGAGAACCTCCCGAAAGAGGACTATCATTCCCGTTTTGTCCATGGATGGTATGCACTTTGAGCCATGAAATAATAGCATGTAGAGGATAGAGCGTGATCGAATGTTTTGACTGTTCTGACTCGTCATCCATGCGACAAAGCCATGCGACAAAGCCATGCAACAAAAGAGCATGAACATCCCACAAAATGTGGCACGGATTGCCACTTTGAATTGATAAACGTAGGTGTTACAGCGAGATTGTCTCACCCAATTCTGTTATTTAATATTCCACCCTCGTTACGGGCCTTCGGTGACCCGATAGGGCAGTACCTATGCTAAAATGGTGAACTGCTGATGGGGTGAAGTACAGAGTAGAGCTACAGCAGAGATCACGTGACAATACCGCCCTAACATGTTGCCAAATTTAGGACTAAGCGCCGCCAAGCGACAGCGCCCCGCTCGGGGTTGCACAACCACCAAAACATTCCCAATCAGGGCTAACAAACCCCACATAATCTTCACACCATCACCGTCACCATCGTTACCATTTCCACACCGTTTTTTTCTCGACCGGTTACGGATACACTCCAAGATGCCGGTTGCTCGATACCACACCGGCACACCTAGGCAGAAAAGGATATACGAGTAAATTCAGCACATCTGCAACCACTGTAATCATTGCCCCTCGCCGATCGATGCTATTCTCATCCCGCCGTGACAGCGTGTCAGCCACCAACGCCTTCCACCGATGCGTGTGTACTATGGGATAAGCGCCCGTGAGTTTCTCCAGATCAAGTCCGCCCGCATGCTCTAACTACGGTAATCACCAGCCTCATGATACGAATAGATCCTCGATGGTCCGCAGCTCGCTTCTGAATTGAAGAGAATGCGGAACCTTCGTTCTACAGCGTCTCATTGTCAATTCCCTAGATGATCCGAAAACCCAATTGGTTTCCGTTTCTCTTACTCGATTGTCCTCGCCGTACCGCTTGCAAGATGTTTGGGGCCTTTGATCGTGTTGCTTCAGTCTCTGGCCTGCCGTCCTCCTTCGCGTGGTTGAGCCAAGCCGAAATAGTACTACGACGACATACGAATAGTACGTGTGGGACACCGTCTGGTCATAATGGATGTTCGGTTCCTGTGCAATGGGCAATGACCGTAATAAGCAAAGGAATTCATCCCAAGTTGTCAAAGGCCTGACAAAGAAAATACGCGCACTAAAGATGGGTCTGGGCGTTCTATCCCCGAGGGGTTCGCCAATCAACCCCCCGACGTTCCTCGCCATCCCCAAGAACGGGTAAGCCTTGCAAGGATATCCCTTGCCATTCCATCAACGCTCCATGTGCTAGCAGCTCCTTCTCCGAGACCCACAGAAAACCGCGTACATCCATCGGCGGCGGTGGTCGGCTCTCTCCATACCACGAAGTATTATTATTATTTCAACGTACTTTCCGAAGGGCTGAGCAGCAATGGGGGAAACGTTGTTGTCTCCTCTGATGAAGTCCTGCAATCGGGGAAGTATGGCACGATGCTGGCCATTCTGCCGCTGCGGCCCAAAAGAGTCCTACAAACTTGGTCGCAGTCGGTCCACTTTTGGAGTGCTTCGAACGTCTCGTTGGCGAAAAAACGGCACCATTTGCGTGCATATACCTACATACACTATTGTACACAGCTGCATTGGGTATGTCGAGTCTTTGCATTCGCGGGAAGGTCGCTTGTGGGCCGCTGATGAACCACACGTCTGCCCTTGACCTGCGGAGGAACAGTAAGTATTATTATCTGACTGTGGCGCAGCGCAGCCATGGCCTTGGGATCCTAACGGACGTTTTTTTAACGGTTTGGATTGTACGTTGTAACCCTCCCTTTCCTCCCTTGTCGTTCACTTCCCTTTCTGACTGTGGCCGGCCAGTATTCGTTGCCGGAAAACGAGGGGCTTTATTCATTCACTGTGTTCCAGCAACCCAGTTATGTGAACCGTTTGGTCGCCACTGGGACGCCATAAGCGCGAGAAGTTTCTCGTCTTGGAAAACGGCCGCCGTTTAAAACAAACGCAGCTTGAAAGCCGGCATTTCTAATTATGGCGCCAGTTCGCTGCTCTGCGTCGTATCTCGCTCTTCTCCCCCTATTTCTATTTCACCCCACAAAACCAAAGAAGCGATAATCGCGAGCATGCCAAGTGCGTTCCCAATGGATGGATTCCTGCCATCCTACCCGTCGCGGCAAACCACCCAGACGGAGTCCATGACTTCGCTCATCAGGCCTGCCGTGAATCGTTATTGGACCGACAAGGACTGATCCTATCCGATAGGACCGAGTTGGCCAGAAGGACCACCTGCTCGTCCCATCCATGCATGGGAACGGTCAAAAGGAGTCCGTACCTGGCACCGTCTTAGATCCCCTGTCAAGGAGTTGCAGCCCGCCTACAACAAGTCATGGACCGCTGACTCCTCGAAGAACCTCAACTCTTCCTCTTCCCGCATACGCTTACCATGGCGTTGGTCTTTTAGTCCGGGCCGTACTCTCGGCACCCAAAGGTTTATCTTTACAACAACAACAACGTGCGTTGTGTTCCATCACAGATGGAGCAAATCTATTCCGGACGCCTTTCCCTTCCTCAACCTTCCCACCAACAGCGTTACCCGTTAGATGGGCTTGGGCCGACGAAGCTCTCTCTCGTCTTCCTCTTGCTCCTGTTCCTTCTCCTCCATCACCTCCATCACCTCCGTCTCCTCCATCACCATCACCATCACCTCCACCACCTGGCCCCCCTTCTCCCCCATTCTGCACCTCCCATCACTTCCCCAGTCACCCCCCGCCCCCCTGCTTTACATCAACACCCCTTGGGGTTGAACCCCGTGTCTCCCGTTGCCCATCGCGCGTACATCGTCATCCCCGGGGGGTTATTTCTATCTCCTTGCTTGAGACTTTTCTATCTATTGCAAGGAACACCTTCACGCAGGGCTGTGTTATTGCTAACTTTGGCTTTCCTTCCTCGTCGCCTACCACCCCGCCTTGCCCCGTTGCATCCCTATCTTATTTTCTTCCATCTTCAGATTATATATCATGTCTAGCATTCAAGACATAATGAATGTAGAGGACGACCAGTTGGGCGATCGTTCTTCTTCTCAGACGAATAAAGAGGGCAAGATCCCAACCTCATCTCACCCCCATCCGCCACCCAATACGGCATCTCCCAGTCCGTCAACCTTCCCTGGCCATCCTCTAGGAGAACACACCACAATCCCTCCCCAAGACCATCAAAGCAGGACACAGCGTCCGTCTGCTCTCATACACGCTTCCTCCATCCTCGCGTCATCGTCGAGCTCGACTGGATCGCCCGTCACAAGTACCAGCAGTTCTGGTCAACGTCCAAGCAACATGAACTCCGACTCCTCCATGGATCCCAACCTGTATGGACACAGCCAAGGCTACAGTCAAGGCTATGGTCAAGGTTACGGGCAAGGCTACGGGCAAGGCTACGGGCAAGACCACGGGCAAGACCACGGCCCCGGCCACTTTGTTTCATCGTCACCCAACTATGGAACTTCCTCCAGGACACCAATGAGACCCATTGGGAACACGCCGCCCACCGCCGAGCCCCCCTGCAGGCTCACGCCTATCACAAAACGAGTCAGTCGGGCAAAGAAAGGGGTGCCCGTCCATACTTGCGACATATGCTCTCCTCCCAAGGTAGGAAGGAAGCCCAGCAACACGCACCACTAGTCTCTTCCTCCCTCGGACCTTCGCACAACCCGCTGACTTTCTACAATCAGACCTTCACTCGAGCTGAACATCTAAGGTGAGCAAAACTCCCCGTCCGAGCGGGACGGTACAACGCCATGCTAAACAGCTCTCTTTTTCTCCAGGCGCCATCAGCTTAGCCACGATAACCCGCGTTTCGCCTGCTCAGTCCCAGGTTGTGACAAAGCCTTTTATCGTAGGGATTTGTTGGAACGACACCAGCAACGCCAGTACGTCCTCTTCTTCCGTGCTGTTTTATTGCCTCCGGACTCTCCCATGCTGACCGCTCCCAGCGAGATGGAGGGAGACAAGTTAATCAAAAGCGGAAGCCAAAGCCGTAGGACCTCAGCGGGTTCCGTGGGAGGAGGGAATCGCCAAAGCGTGCCACCTTCTGCTCTTGGATACAACACCACTGGCGGAGCCTCGGCAGCTGCGAACGCGAACATGACCATGGCACCCGATACGCCAGCTAATCTAGCCTTCCCACCTATGGACAACTCTAGCAACATGACACAATCCATGTCCCCTCCAATGAGTCGTGGCAATGAATCGTACCCGCCCTCCTCCGGCACCTCCTCATACGGCGGCAGTGGATATCAATTGTCCCCGGGTTCGTCTCATCAAGTACCGGCGCTACAACAACCACCGATCCCTGGCAATAACTTCGAAGCTACTTCCGTCGCGCCGACATTCTCCTCCATCGACTACGGCGAGTCTCGCTACGCGCCACATCTGTATCTCCAGACACGAGGGCTCTCCAGTATGCAAGTTCCGGCGGTGGAGGGCTCTACTGAACTCTCTCATCACCACGAGACCTCTGAATGGGTGTCCTCTGCCTCTGACAGCACGTACTCGACTCCTTCCGATAACTCGCGACACGGAGGCATCTGGCCAGCAGTCGATACGGCCGCCCACAACGACTGGCAAGACGAAGTTGATATGATTTCAAACTATCCGCTCAGGGGTCTTCATAGTCCCTCGAGCGGGCTCGACGCCATCCCGAATTCGACCGCTCCTGTCTTCTTTTCCTATTCGACATCCCCACCACTCGACGCTACTCACGTCTACACGTCGATGGTCGATATACCCCTGTCGCAATTCCCGGGTGGTCATGCGCTGCTGGATCCCAATCCGCAGCGCTTCTCCAGCATTGTTGGTAGCCCAATCCTAGCATCGGCGTCGGGCTCGGCTCAATGTTTTGAAACTCTAGTCTCCCCCTCGACGGCCCTTCCGTCGGACCGATTGATGCACTCCCTAGCTTGCATGGGCCGTCAGAAGGAGGTGGCGGTTGGCCTCCTGGCGGCCGCGGCCGCGGCCCCGGTCCCGATGCTCAGGTCCTTGCCGTTGCCTCCCGCGAGTGCCTACGAAGCCATCCCGGACTACCTGGATGTCTATTGGGACAGGTTTCACCACCTGTTCCCCATCGTGCACAGGAAGTCCTTGGAGAACGCGGGGCGGAGTGTAGAGGTGCTCCGCTGTGCCATGGCGGCTGTGGCCTCCCAGTACCTCAGCGGCAAAGAGCATCGCATCAGGGGTAACCAGCTGCATGAGTTTGCTTGGCAGCAGTCGAGACAAGTAAGTGGGAAGCGCCACTTTTTAAGGGGTCACTGCTACGCCGCTTGGTCAAAATGCATGTACGTGGGGTTTGCTAACGCTCTTTAGGCGCGCAACCGTGACTTATCTAGCATGCAGTCTATCGTGTTGTGCGAGTTGTTCTCTCGGTTCCGCGGTCGGAAGGCGACTATCCGGCCATCAAAGGAATTTGAGAAAGTCTATCAGAGTGTGAGCTCCCTCCAGCCCTCCTTGACTTGAGCATCCGGCAGCCATTCTGTGGCTCTTCACCCTGCTCTGTTGAGACTATGGTCTATTCGCGTTTCTAAACTGTTATCCAGGCCTATGACTCGTCTGCTGTCTTCAGTGCCGTGCCGGCAAATCATAACACAGAGAGTAATGACAGCAATACACGATGGCGAAGCTGGCTGAACCTGGAGGCTCTTCGGCGGCTTTTGGCGGCCTGTTTCGTCGTCGACATTCATGCTTCCATGTACCAACAACAAAGGAGAACGCACGACTTCAATATCTTCTTAGAAGGGACCCCTTCCATCCCACTGACCAGTCCCACGGCCGACCTGTGGGAAGCCACGAACGCAAATGCCTGGGAAGCTATCATAATGGCTAAAGAGAACCCCATCAACATGTCTATGGCCTTGCCAATGATCAATGCCGACTCGCTGACCGAATCGCTAATTGAGTCGTATGGGTCGTTCGACAAGGCCGTGATCCGGGGGTATGAGGCCCTCCGGCTACAGTCTCAGGAGATACCGAGGCAATCTTTCTTCACCGGCCCAGGGAATGCAGAGACTGATCCCAGCACGGCGCGCTTAGCCAATCTCTTCCCTGACTGCCCCATCGCCAACACGTACCTCGCCCTCCATCACTCTCCGCTACATGAACTCCTTTCCGTGTCGGGAGACAGCTGGGCATTCAGCCGAAAGATGATAGACGAGGCGACTTTCGCAGCGCAGCAGAGGCAAATACAGCAATGGAGCCGGTCGGGCAACGCTGCGGCAGCCGTCGTCTTCGCCTGCCGGGCCATACAGGCCTTCACATCTCACGGCCACGAGCGTGGTCCGGAGAATAACGACGATGAAAGATGGGACGACGACGACGAAGACGAAGACGAAATGTCAGACTGGGATACCCAGTCGCGGCCCCGGGCCTGGCGGGACGATCTGTCCGACTACTGGGGCATGTACGTCTGCGCTCTCATCTGCTGGGCCTTCGGCTTCGCATACCGCGGAGTGGAGGAGAAGGATCCTACGTCTTCGCCTACTTCTCGCGCGCCACGCGCCCAAGGGGTCAAGGGGATGGACCCCAGGGCTGCCCTGGCGTGGGTGAGAAGCGTGGCGTCGATGAGAGCGGAAGACGTTGCGAAGCTGCTCAACAGGCAAGATGCTGTGGCGGTGGTGTGTCTCTCGCGCCGGTGGATGGAGCCCGACGGTGAGGGCGGGCGCAACCGGCTTCTCGTGGATGCGATACGGGTGTTGCGCAAGCTCGAGGAGTGTGTCGAGCGTACCTGGTTTTGATCAAGCAAGCCCGAGCCCATGCATTTCCCCTCCTTTTCCACTTTGATTTTCTATTTCGATACGTTTTTCCCTTTTCCCTTTTCTTTTTTTCTTTTCTTCTTCTTCCTTTCTTATCGCCTCATCTCGTTCATCTCGTTATATATGCTCTCATAATTCTTTGTCTTTGCCTTGTTTTTTTCCCTCGCCCTTTTGCTCACTTTCACTTTCTCTTCTTCGTTTATATATTTTTATTTTTATTTTTTTCACTTCTATATATCACTGGTATGGACAGCATAGGAAGGGCATGCATGGGGAAGCAGCCCCGATTCCATGATTGCGAAACATTATACTACTTACGAAGCATGAGTCACGATGAACTTGGACCGGATGGAACTGAATGATGAAGGACGGACTTTTCTTGGACATCCATCTGCTACGTGGCCCGTTGGAGGGTTCCAGGCTGCGCATTACTGGACAAACATAGCGGGTAACTGACAGCAGGCACGCATGATGGGTTATATACCCAGGGGATGGCAGGCGGCCGACACCATTCTTCTTGTTGATAGAAGAAGACATAGATAGCTAAGGAGCACTGAATAAAATTCAACATTGATTTCAAGGATGGACAGATGGGCACTGGGTGGTAGCACGGGCGACTCGCTTTGCGTCGATGGGCGAAGACAGGCCGATTCTATTATATTATGAGACATAAAGGAGGACATGGAAAAGCAAACAGATGCCGCACAAGTAGGATGCAGAGATCATGGACAATAAACTCTTTCCAGCTATCTCGATTCCACCGCAGCACCAGGCCCGCCGTCACAAGTCTGGCGGTTCGTTCTCTCCCGCGGGGTCGAATTACCGGTCTGCCACGATTATGACCCCAGAAGAAACGGGCTTGGAACCTAGAGCCAGCGATGTAGCATCGGCGGCGGAGTAATTTATTGTAGGCGTTGGAGAACCAGCGGTCGTTGGCACGGATTCAAAGGATTTCGTCACACCTCTCCTATTGTCTTTCGGTTTGTTCTTCTATTACCTATCGCGACGGCATTGTCCAGAAAAAGATGTAAATAGCGCACAAGACGAGGGGAAACCCAGCAATGGTTAGTGGAAGGTTTGAGGGGTGCCGTTGAGGATGGAGGATGAAGGTTTACCGATAACTTCCAACACGCGATTATTATATAATTACGCATGCGGCCAACGCGCAGCCACTGGCCACCCCACCCGCCATAAGTCAACAGAAACCCAATTCCGTATGAGGCGGACGAAGCATGTACTCCGTACCGTAAGCGGCCTCCTGTCAGCAAGTGAATCATTTCATAAGGTACCTTCTTAGGTACCTACCTAGGTACCTTAGCTTGCTTACCTTACGCTACGTATACCTTGACGGTTGATGCAATTTTCTTTCTTCATCTACAACATTCCAAACATCAACATGATTACTCAGATCTACTCCTTAAGAAAGAAATACCTACCTACGTGTACTTCCATAACTGTGTTTTATCCGTCGACCGGTTCCGAGTCACCGTGTAGGGAGTACTGCGCACCTTATGCACTACACTGTGCTAGGTACACTACCTATACGAATAGTGACGAATACTGAGTTGGTACCTTGCGGAACACTGACCACGGAACACCAAGACTCATCCTGCCGCCAAGCTGTCGTCATCGAACATCGAACAAGAAGCAATCTTAGGTAGGCATCTCTCCTTAAAAAAAAGCTACCTGCGAAGTAATCACCTTATGCCCTGTCCACGCCGTTCTTGGTCCCGTTTCTATACTAATACGTGTACGAAGATATTCCAGCCTTGAGCTCCCGGTGGCCCGTTCACAGCCTAGCTCGACGCTTATCATTATCAGTTTGTTTTGTCCCAGGTTGGGTTGTTGGTGTATCCGTGTCCATCCACATCCCATCTCCTCTTCTCTCCCCCAGCCCATCGCCTCGAACATTTTTTACTCTCCCACCCCGCCCTCTCACCTCACACGGCGTACGCGCACGAACCTCCAACACTCACCGCCCATTCTGCCGACTTCACCAATTGCAAATCTATCTTTGCTCGAAAAGCGCCCCCTTCCGTTTGCCCCTCCACGCGCCTGACTCTCTAGTGTCTCCCAATCCCAACATATCCTCTCCACTTTGCGAGCGTACGAATCACACGAATCACACTTTAGATACGGAGCATCCGTACATACATAACAACTAGGCCTACTAGCAGCAATGGCCGCGTCCTTCAAGTTCACGTGGTATGTCTCACCGACACCTTTCTCCTTGCGATAGACACCCTCCCCCGCTTCCCTGAGAACAGAACCCCCAAGTTGTCTGGAATGTCGTATGCCGGACGGGGGTAATCAATGGATCTGCACATTACGCATCATGGCTGCGACTCGCTGTCGAGTCCCCGAGCTCCGGTCCGAAGCGAACCATGACGCACTGGCTTTGTCACTCGGCTTCGCCATAAGCGTCCCAAGAACTCCCCTCGCTGACCAAGAGCGACATTGTGTTTGCCTTTGTATAGGAGTCATCCCGCCGAGGAGGTGTACGTGACCGGCACCTTTGACAATTGGACCAAGTCTGAGAAGCTCGACAAGGTCGGCGATAAGTTTGAGAAGACTGTAGTCCTTGCCGACGGCTCGAAGAAGATTTACTACAAGGTTTGTTTCTCCCATTCCTTTTGGGTTTTCCTTTTTTTTCCCCGTCTTATCTGTGCTCTCCCTTATCTTCCTCGTCGCACGCTTTTGTTTTTGACTATTCCTTCTACTTCTTCGCTGGTCATTGATTGTTGGCCCTCATCTGTTCCTATTCCTGTTCGCTTGTCATAGAATGGTCCCATTCTGTAGTGGTGACTACGCGAAGCATTGCCTACCTAGGTGGGTGGCAAACGCAGACCACCAGCCTTGGGTTGGGAGCATTGGGCGCCTTGGCAACCTAGCGACAGCGAGTACGGAGTACGTTTGTACGCACAAGATAACTGGGAAGCTTATGACCTCCATGGCCAAGGCCGAGGCGTCCCCCTGCTGTGTTGTGCTGTTCGTTCTTCTCCCCGAAAAATCAATGCGGCCTAGTGGTCGGCTCCGTCGGTCAGTGGCAAGGTCACGAGTGATGCCAAATTCGTACCATACGAGTGTACATATCCCCTTCACCTTCTATTTCCCTCGTTTTGCCGCATTAACCTTCAAAAAGACCAAAGGCGGTCTGTGTTTCTTCTTTCTTCAGTTGCTTTTATTATCCCAACCTCCTGGTCCCAGCGGTCCCAGCGGTCGCAGCGGTTCTCCCGGAACCTTATGCAGCATGACTTCTTTACCTACTTAGTATGACGCAACTTCCTAATATGGCGCCAAACCTCCGCCTTCAGAGGAGCACCTCCCCTTCAGAAGCCCAGGTACGGGACGGTACGTACATTATATTGCGTCCACTCCGGTAGCGACCTGGGAGATTGCATCTGGATTAGCGCCAAAGGAAGGCCCAACCGCTTCAAGGGTATTCCTGGGCTTTCCCTACCAGAATGTGGACCCTGCAACAACCATGGCGTCAAGGCCTCGGTCCCCCCTCCAAGGGGCTGGGGGCGCATTTAACCACATCAGCACCACTTTCCCCCCTCCCCCTCCCTTTTCAAACTAGCTTACCTAGATGGTTGGCCCATATCATCATTTTGCTCTTTTTTTTGTTTGAGTCTTCTGCCTTTCTTCCCTTTCACAGCCTTCTGGCCCGAATTGCAATTACCCTTGCCACATTGACACCATCGTTCTGCGAACTCGTACATTCGATAATCAACTGACATCTTCTACCTGCTCTCTGTCCAGTTTGTCGTCGACCACAATTGGACTACAGATCACACTGCGCCACAAGAAACCGACGAGAAGGGAAACGTAAACAACTTTTTGACTCCCGAGCACATCATCATGCAGGATCCGTCCGTCACCATCATGAACTCCGTGGGTCCCGATGCCACGACGGCCGAACTGGCCAAAGAAGTTCCTCTGGAAAATGGGCACCACAAAGAGGAAGAACCCAAGGAAGAGCCCAAAGAGGAACCCAAAGAACTCAAGGAAGAAGAGCCTGAGCCCACGCCCACTGGCGCGCCTGGAACCTTCCCTGAAACACCCGCTGAAGAGCTTAACGAGCCCGTCAGCATCAACCCCCTCCCTGCTACCGACGTCACCCAGCCGCCCGTGGTCCTCGCCCCAGGCGAGCCGATCCCCCCTTCCCTTCAGTCCGGTGACGTCAACGCCCAAGTGACCCTCGATAAGGAGTCCTACGAGAAGAGTGACCGTCTGCCTGGGCTCGCCGACGAAATCATGACTATACCCCCGGTTACGAACGTGGGGGCCACCGTCATCCCCGAGTCCAGCTTGCCCGCCGTCACCGTCGCGACCGAGGAGCCCAAGGAGGAAGCTCCAGTACCCGAGACCGTCAAGGACAGCCAAGAGAAGGCTGGCGTGGAACCTGAAGCCAGCGCCGAGCCCAAGGAGGTCGCCGGTAAGGCTGCCGTGGAGGAGGAGCTGAAGGAGACCGTGCCCGAGGCCCCGTCCACAACCGAGGGCACCGCTGGCTTCGGCACCCAGAAGTCCGAGACCCTGGGTATTGCCGCTACAGCCGTCACTGCCGGCGGTATTGCTGCCGCCGCCGCCGTGGCAGCCATGGACGCCCTCGCCGTGAAGGCTGAGCCTGCCGTCAACCAAGCCACCGAGGCCGTGAACCAAGCTACGACCGCCGCCACGGACGCCGCAACAGACACCGCCGCCAAGCTCCCCGACAGCGTGAAGGAGAACCTGCCCGAATCTGTACAGGAGGCCATCCATACGCAAAAGCAAGAGGAGGTCCAGGAGGAAGTGGCGCCCCAGGTCCCCGCCGAAGTAAAAGATTCCATGGTCGAGGCGGCGCAGAGTCCCGAAGCAGCCGCGAGTGCCGTGGCCGTCGAGGAGAAGAAGGCCGTGGAGCAGGAGCTTCTCAAAGAGGTCAAGCCTGTGCCTGCCGTGGGCGAAGACCAGCCGGCGGCGGTTGCTCCCGAGGTCCCAGCCCCGGTGAAGGACTCGATTGCCGAGGCGGAGAAGAGCCCCGAGGCCGCCGGCAGCGCTGCTGTGGTCGAGGACAAGAAGCAGGTAGAGGAAGAGCTCCTCAAAGAGGTTCAGCCTGTCGCGGCCGTGGACGAAGCGCAGCCCAAGGCGGAGGCGGAGGCGGAGGCAGTCAAGCAAGAGGAGACGAACCAGGAAGTCGCCCCTGACGTTCCACCCGAGGTGAAGGCGTCCATCTTGGCGGCGTCTGAGAGCCCCGAAGCCGCTGGCAGCTCCGCCGCTGTCGAGGACAAGAAGGAAGTGGAAGAGGAGCTGCTGAAGGAAGTCAAGCCTGCTGCGGCTGTCACCGAGGAGCCGGAGTCCAAGGCTGGACAGGTCGAGGAAGAGTCGGAGGCACCGGTCAAGGACGAGAAGAAGCAGACGGAGACGCTCCAGGAGGCCCTGGCTGGTAGGCCCAAGGAGGAGCCCGCGGCGGCCGAGGCGTCCCAGCCGGCCGAGGCAGCGCCCAAGGTGGAGGACGCACCCAAGGCCGAGGCGCCTCAGGAGGAGTCGGCGCAGGAGACTTCAGCGGCAGCTGCAGCGACGAACGGTACCGCGACCGAGGAGTCGGCCAAGCCTGCTACTGGCGAGAAGAAGAAGAAGAACCGCTTGAGCGCGTTCTTTGGCAAGCTCAAGAACAAGGTGTCGCATAAGGAGTAATTCTTTTATCCGCCCATCAACCAACGTCCCCCCCCCTTTTTTTTTTCTTTTTTTGAATCGACCCCCCTACGTCTCGACTTGTTTCGCCTGGTCTCGTTTTCTTCGATGATTCCCCCCTTAAAAGGGTTTGAAGTCCCATGATTTTCTGTTTCTTTTTTTTAGGCTTGTTCTCATGCAAAGTCGGCCACGAAGACGTGGGAAAGACAACATGAGAAGGGAGATAGATGATGTGACGGGATCGTTGGCATGCATTGGACCTGTCTTGGACGTGATCAAAAAAGACACAAGATGTATGTTAACGAACAAGGGCACGGCACGGCGGTGGCTTGCTGCTATTTTCTTGGCCTCTATTTTTGGTCCTCCCCTGTCTTCCCCTCCACAGACGAGTTTCTTAATGGGTTGACTCGAATATCATCACTCTTCATTGCTATACGGTGGTGGTGGCATTGCTCCCCGGACCATGCATACCACCATATCACATCCTTCCATATTTTACTGCGAAACTGGGCTGGCACATTCCACCTCCAATGGTATCCCTCGAACCTTCTGCTCAGGAACATGATCCAAGTCCAAAACGGAAAGCTGCAACTGTGATCAGAGGGCCACACCTCCCTAGCTGGCTTAAACAGTCGAGGGGACTCGATGGAGCGTAGCCAGTTGCGACCGACACCGGCCGGGCTACTTCTCCAGCATCCCTTTCACTACATCTATCTCTATCTCATTGAACATCGCGTCTCCCGTCTCGAGCTTCCACGTACCCTTTTTCTTCTATTCATACCCTTCCTCGGTTTTTCGGTTCGGCCTTATCGACTACAGTCACTTCATACATTCGCTACCATCTCATTTTAAACGCAGACGGCTGTCTCGAACTCTCCCTCTCAGCTCGGGTCTTTCGAACTACGTTGTGTCGGTTGTTTTAATCTCGGGCTCTTTCATCCAGCCTTACCTTACCGTTCTTTATTAGTTAGTCTGGCATGCCAGAACCCTCTTCACATCCATCCGCTTACAGATCTCTTTTCCAGGTCTCATAAACCCTCTTGCACAGAGCCTGCGCCTCTATTACTTCCTCTAGGTCGACTCCCTGAGACGCGCGACATGAGCAGCGACAGCTTCGAGTTCGGCCCCATGCTGGAGGCGCGCGTTGACGACGCGAGCAGCCCATCTCAGCGACTGAGTACGGAGAATTTAGCAAGACCAGCTTCTCCAGCACGGACCCCGATGGAGAAGGTCCGCGACAGCGCCACAAATGCATTGGCACAACTCTAGGAGGCGTTGGCAAATTACCGCCAAGGTGGTTGCACATGGGCCACTCTGTGTAGGGTCTTGATAATTGTCGTCGGGCTCCCTGTGATCATTTGCATCGTCTGCCATGTAGAGTATCCACCTCCGCCTACCACGATCCCTCCTCACATCCCGACACACTCCACGCATACGGAACACATCACGCATACGGAACACATCACGCATACGGAGCACATCACGCATACGGAGCACAGCACGCTGACGGAGCACCTCACACACGCGGGGCACTTCGCACACACGCGGCACTTCACCTACACAACTTCGGTTAGCACCGCTGTAGCGACACCCACTCCCACTCCCACGAGCCAGCCACGGCTAGGATTCACACGTAATGGGCCCGACAACCTGCACCTCGACACCCTATACCTCCTCGGGACGGGAAAGGGCGACATCACAGGCCCCGTGGTGGAAATCAACATGATGGGATACGCCGATATGAATCAGGTCGGCGGTGGCCTGCGTCAGAGACTTCAGGCGAGGGCGTTTATCGTCGGTAACCTCGAGAAACCTAGCGAGAGGTTCGTCTACGTCGTGTTAGACACTCTTGCTGGGGACACGGCGATTCGTTATGGCATTCTCGCCGGCTTGGCCGCCCTGGGTCCGGAGTACTCGGTATACGGACCCCACAACGTGGCCATCACCGGAACACATTCCCACGCTGGCCCGGGAGGCTGGATGAATTACCTCCTCCCACAGATCACGAGCAAGGGTTTCCATAAGCAGAGCTACAAGGCCATTGTCGACGGCACGGTGTTGGCCATCTGCAGGGCGCACGAGAGCCTGCAGCCGGGCCGGCTCACTGCCGGGTCGATCAAGGTGAAGGGGGCCAATATCAACCGCAGCCTCTTTGCGTATCTTGCGAACCCCGAGGGAGAACGGGCCCGGTACAACATCAGCGGCGGGGATGACGGCTCGGTGGAGAAGGACTTGACGCTGCTCCGGTTTCAACGGGCGTGGGACAGGAAGAACATTGGCGTACTGACCTGGTTCCCTACGCACGGCACGTCTCTTTTGGGCAACAACAGCCTCATTGCCGGGGACAATAAGGGGGTGGCCGCTGATCTCTTCGAGAAGAGCGTCCGACGGCGGCACGATGCGGACGAACTCTTCGTCGCCGGCTTCTCGCAGGCCAACATGGGAGATGTCAGCCCCAACGTCCTGGGAGCGTGGTGCGAGGACGGGTCGGGGGAGCGGTGCAGTTTTGAGAACAGCACGTGCGGCGACGGCAAGTGCCAGCACTGTCACGGCAGGGGCCCGTTCTTCCGGGAGCCAGACGATGGCGCCAAGTCGTGCTTCGAAATTGGAAAGCGACAGTTCGAGGCCGCCAGGGAGCTGTACGATCGGCTGGCGAACGCCGACGCGCGTGCTCTGGATGCTCCGGATGCCCGGCCGATCCGCGGCTCGTGGGTCAAGTCGTTCCACGTCTTCCACAACATGTCGGACTTTGCGTTCCAGCTGCCCAACGGCACCCATGTCCGGACCTGCCCTGCGGCTCTCGGTTATTCGTTCGCGGCGGGGACGTCAGATTGGCCTGGCCATTTCGACTTTGTGCAGCACGGTTCCAACAGGTCCAACACGTCTCCGGTCTGGAAAGCGGTCTCGGGGTTTCTCAAGGAACCAGGACCGTCCCAGATGGCGTGTCATGGCCCAAAGCCGATCCTGCTCGACGTCGGCGACGTTTCCAGGCCGTATGCCTGGACGCCAAACGTTGTCGACATGCAGGTCTTCAGGGTCGGGCAGTTCTTCATCATCGTGAGTCCCGGGGAGGCGACTACCATGGCCGGCCGGCGATGGAAGCAAGCGGTTCATGATGCCGCCGAACGCATGCTCGCGAACGAGAGAAGCATAAAGGGGTCTGATGGGGACAAGCCGTTTGTGGTGCTCGGTGGCCCGGCGAACTCTTACACCCATTATATTACCACTCTGGAGGAGTATGCGTAAGTGATCTTACCCGGAATCTACAGTCTAATTACCTGAAGCCTTTTCTTTGCTTCTCGTTGCCGAGCTAACTTGGGGTCTCGCCTAAGCGTTCAACGGTACGAAGGAGCATCGACTTTGTACGGCCCGCACACGCTGGCAGCTTATATCAATCGTACTCTCCACTTCCTGCCGTCCTTGGGGGCGGCAGGCGACGTAGTCCCTCCCAGACACAGCGGCAGACCATTCCCACCCGATAACTCGAACCGGTCCCTGAGCTTCATCCCCGGAGTGGTGTATGACAGGGCGCCTTTGTTCCGTCACTTCGGAGACGTCCAAGAGGACGCCGGTGCGGTATACCGGCACGGCGATACTATCCAGGCGACGTTTGTCGGGGCTAATCCGAGGAACAACTTGCGTCAAGAAGGGACATTCACGGCAGTGGAGCGTCTTGTGTCGGCTCCAGAGGAGGAGACGGAGGAGTGGCAAGTGGTGCGGGATGACACCGACTGGAGCCTCGTTTTCCGATGGAGGCGGCTGAGTGAGGTGCTGGGCACGAGCGAGGTGGAAATCACATGGGAGACGGGTTCGGAGGTGGACGCGGTCGAGCCGGGGGTGTACCGGCTGCGTTATTTCGGCGACTGGAAGTCTGTGACGGGTACGACCACGGGGTTTGAGGGCGTCAGCGGGAGGTTTTGGATCTTGGAATGAGGAAGAGTGAGCCAAAGGATAGTGCTAACGTTTAGATGATAGCGAGTGATTTGATAGTTGTAAACCTCTAGCGTAATTTCGACGGTATGTTCTTCCTCCAGGGCACCTGGTCGTTGTCTTGAATATGGCGATGACTTCAAGTAAGGTACGCTGAATAATATGGGTTGTGGATGAAGCGGTACCTTACGTAATACAGAGTATGGAGTAATTACACCTTTTGTCGCGTCACGGGTGGTTGCTTGATCTCCCGTCCCTCCTTCTCGATTGGATCTGCCAAGGCTCCAAGGTCAAAACAAATCAAGTCGATGCCAAGCAACGAGTCCGAGCTTCAATTGGGGTTTGAGTGGGATCCGCCTTCCCAATCCAATCAAATAGCCTTGATGCGGTACGTAGCTTGTTGCAGAACCGTGCATCATGCGTGGCACTTTCCCTCACCATAACAACCAGGAAATCAGTACGGAGTACTTTTAGAAAGTACGAATACAAGTGATCCCCCCAATCAAAACATACTCCCGTATCCCGTAATAAACAACGCACCGGCCACATCTCACGTCTCACCACCATCACGCTCGTCTCATCCCACCGCGACAAACCCCCCCCCCTCCCCCTTAACTTTGAGTGCACCGACATCGTCACCACAGGCCGACGCCTCAATAAAAACATAACATCTCATCTCATCACCAAATCATAAAGAACAACCCCGCGAAAAAGAAAAAGAAAAAGAAAAAAAAATCGAGAAAATCGATAACGCCTCTTTTTCGCAACCCCGCGGCTTCTATCTCGTTGCTTTTGGACCCATTTTGGTCGCCATTACGTCGCGCGATCTGTTTGTAAACACGTCAGCTTTCTCGCGACCTATCCCACGTCCCGCCTCCCACCTCCCACCTCCCACCTCCCACCGTCTAAACAATGTCTGGCACCAACCCGTGGCTGCAACGGCAGCGCAAGAGCGATCTTGTCGAGCTTGCAGAATTCGTCGGTCTCAAGGGGTACGTTGTTGCTGAATCGTTGTTTTCTTCCGTTTCTTCCGTCACATACCACACTCCCCCTCTCCTCCCACGGCGCGTTATGGCGTCCAACGGAATTGGTTTGTCGTCGCCCAACATGGTCTGCACGGCGCGCACGCACGCACTGGTGGCAAAACTTCTTAGCGATGATGCATACACACCTGCCACCTGCCGCTCACCACCCGGCACCCGTCACCCGTCACCAACGCGACAAAGCGAAACCCCTCAGTGCGATTGCGACGCGACGGAAGGGCTGACTTGATGCGCACACTGTTTTTAGCTACGAGGGCCAAAGAAAAGTCGACTTGGAGGCCACCCTCGACGAGTTCCTTTCCGAGAACGCGGCCCACTTCTCCACCGAACCGAAGCTCGTCCCCTACTACGTCAGCCGCGCCAAGGCTACCGGGTCTCCTACGAAGAGGGAACTGGCGCCCAGGGAGGAAGCCCTCAAAATCATCAAGCGACGCGTGACAAGGGCGGCTTCGGAGGTTCTTCCCGCAGAGTAAGTCCCATGCCATTCCCCTCCTCTCGTGAGATGCCTTACTCTGGCCCCTCGCAACCGTCTTGTTGACAAACGCGTCGACAGTTCTGCGCAAGAGGAGGCCAGTTCGTCCCAGTCCCAGTCCCCGTCCCCGTCTCCTTCGCCGTCTCGGTCCCCTTCACCGCCGTCCGTCGCCCTTGAGACGCGCACGCCAGCGCGCAACCTGTCCCTCGCCGGCCGCCTCCCGCTGCCCGCCACCCCCGCCGAAGTGGCCCAGGTGGTGGATCGCAGCGCGTCGGCCGTCCGTACACGCGTCACGTCGATATACCAGGAGTCGGGCATCACCGAGGGCGCCCACGCCGTGCAGGAGACCCTCTCCACCGTCGGGTCCATCATCTTCACCATCACCCTCTTCGAGCTCTACTCGCTGCGCCCCGAGGTCCTTCCGGGCCGCTATGCCTTCACCATCCCGTCCATGCCCGCCCTGGGCACCGGGCCCATGCCCATCTACGTCCCGGACATGTTCCTCGTCCTGAGCTCGTCCTTCTGGTCGCCGGTGCTCACGTGGATCGCTACGGCGCTCATCATTCCGTCCGTCTTCGGCTACTTCTACAACCTGAACTCCGCGAGCCACGCCCCGCGCCGCGGCCGGCCCTCGCGTCCCGACTACGACGTCGATCCCCTGACGTTCAGCATCGTCAAGGGGCTCGTCTCGTTCGTCGTCCTGGGGCAGAAGGTGACGGTCGCCGGGTACCCCAGCGTCCACTCGATCGACCGCATCAACTCGGCCATCTATGGCGGATGGAGAGGAATCATTACCGGCGCCGCCGTTTCTGCGCTGGTCAGCATATATGATGCCGTGCTCAGGAAGTAGAATGTTCTTTAGGGGAGGCGGAGGAGCCGAAGAGCCGACGCCCCTGCGATTCCATTATGTAGGAGGATTCTGTTGATCTGCCCTAGCAGGAGGTGTTTTTGGAATGCCGCGAAAGGATCGTACTGGATATGGTCTGGGGAATGTACCAGAAAAGAAGAAGAAGAAAGGAAAACTACTAAAAAGAACAACTGGAGGATGAACATGCGGGGGTTGGATTTCTTCCCGCCCTCCTTCCCCCTCTGTCTTCTTTTAGCACGTCACACTTCTGCTTCGAGTTCATCGAATGACTCCAATGGCCATTAGTCGCCCCCGCGCCATCAACCAACCCCCATCAAAACGACACGCATTCTTCTTTCATTTCTGAAAGGCGGCGTTTTCGGGCGTTTGCCGGCGTCATTCGGCATGGCTTGTCGATGATACCTTACCTCTTCATTGCCCCATTTTCAGCTTTGGCGGACATTCCCTTTTTTTTTTTCCATCATCCGTGGCTTGATGTGACGGATGGTCCAGTTTCTGAAACCCTGGTTGCTTCAGAAGTTTCACTGAAAGGGACCCATGGGCTTCTTTTGTTTTGTTTTGTTTTGCTGTTTTTCTTCCTTTGCTTTTCTGTACATGTTTTGGTGTCGCTGCCTCGGCAGTCTGCGTTGCGTTTTTTTTCTTTTTTCTTTTTCTTTTTCTTTTTCTTTTTCTGGTTCTTCCGTGTAGTGTTCTTGGATGGTGGTCTTTTGGTTTTGTTTAGGTTGGGGTACGGCAGCATATGCGACGTGCAGGGGACAGGAGAGGAGAGACCGCGTGAGAGACGCACTGGCGGAATCCTGCCATTGGTTTGGGTTGATGAGGGTTTTGGATTCGGAGTTCTTTCCAACAAGTCGCCTGCCTTATCTGGAGTCGAGGGCGAAAATCAGGGACGGGCGGGGGGAAGGGAGGGAGAGACCTTACGGAAATGGAGGGGAAGGGAAGAGGGAATATGATTTTTTTGCCGGCGGTGGCCCCCCCCCCTTTTTTTTTTTT